CACAGCAAAAGCAAAAGTTCTGTAGTCTTTCATATTTTGCCTTTATCCAGATCAGTTCTTTTCCATCAGGTCTAGGCATCCACATTCCTGTTATCAAAAGTCTCCTCAAATACACCAAAACTCTGACTCTCAAAAAGCTACGGGTCAAGAGTTCATCTCTTAGCCGATTCTCAACCATAACAACCTTTCCAATCATAGATCCAAGGGTGATCGCATTATCCAGATCCATAGCCTCCAAAGAAAGATCGTGAAACTGAATCCAGAAAGGACAGACGCTAAAATCCACCTCTCTGTACACCATATACTCCTTCCATGATTGAATATTTAGCAATACACCTTGCATTGACCACGGTCTTCCCCTCAAAATTCTGCTATAATCCTCTTTTTTTCAAAATTCAAAAACAAAGATGTTTCGATCCACATCAATTATCTTCATATGCTCTGTCTTATCTAGATTCCATCCCTTACGAATCATCTGGATCAAGGTAATTTTATTCAAATTCTTCTCTGTCATCAAACGACCGATCAGAGCTCCTCTATGTTTCTTTCTCTGATCACTTTTCCTCCATACAAGATTAGCCTCTAATCGCTGATGGTTACTGCCTTTGCCTCCATTCTCTACACTCGTCATTTCCTTCGAATCGCCAAAATCCGCACGTACACTCTTTCAACCCTGCCACAGTAGGCGATGGAGCTCTTTCAGACTACCACTCCAAGTACCTCCAAACTTCTATCCTCACTATTCCTCTGTTACAATGAGTAACAAAGGAATCACTCTTTCTTCACTTCGTCGTAGTGGGCAACGAAGCTCTCTCAGATTACCTCTCTCACCATCACACCATACGACGGAAACAGGATTCACAGAAGAAATCGGTGATAACTGCCGTAACAAACTCTCACGTGGAGAGAGAAAAGCTCCCACTCAAGAGAGAGAAGTTCCCTGGTAGTCAAGGAAGATATGAACAATAATTAAATAGACCGTAAGGAATATAGACATAGATTTATCAATTCAATCTTCCTGTGATCGATTTTCTTCCTTGCCAATTCTTTTAGATCTCTATTTACTATCTCTGAAATTTTCAGGAACTTTTGAATCTGGGAATGACATTTCTGTTCTATCTAAAAGTTTTGGTTTGGTATAGCAACCTATTAACACCAGAGACTAATTACCCATGTGCTGTCATGTGCTGGATCAAATCATCATGCGCTTATCTCTCATCTTTTTGTTTATTTTTTTATTTTATTCATAAATAAAAATGATTATTTATGCATTATATTTGAGGATACTCGATCTGCGAGCATTTTGAGATTTTAAATTTTCGTCGTACTTTTTTTTTCCTTTTGAATATGCCCATTACCTATCTCAAGATTTAATTTGCTTTGAAACTCAAATAGACGGGAAAATACATCTTACAAATATTGGTTCACTTTCTTTCTGTTTTTGTACTTTTACTTTTGTGTTCAGATTCCAAATCCTTTGCAATGGAGCATGATGCTGATGGAGTTGGGGGCTCTTCAAGTTTTTCTGCTTCAACTAAGAGATGGAAGTATCATGTGTTCTTGAGCTTTCGAGGGGAAGATACTCGAATAAGTTTTATTGATCATTTGTATGCTGCTTTAAAACGCAAAAGGATTAAAAACTTTCAGGGATGAAGAAGAACTTGAAAGGGGAGAATCTATTAAACCAAGTTTAATACATATTTATTTACTAATTCATCCTTTGTCATACTAAATCCTTGACTTTGGCTAAAATTATTTTGAACAATTAGTGTTTTCTTATGGTTTTCCTTAATTATTTTCCTTACAAATAATTATTTGTTTAATATGTTTATCATATCGGGATAAAATATCAAGTAATTTAATTGGCATGGATATAGAAAAATCAATTGAAATTTTGAGTAATTCTTAAAGGATTGTTATTATCAAAGATTCAAAAATAAATATCAATAATTCATAATTTCTAAATTTAAAAAAAATATCATTTTATTAATAATTAATTAATAGTAGTTTTTAACTTTTGATGGTTGAAAACGTTACCGTATAGCATTAGATTTGAAATGCTAATCCGACAATGTATTTTGTTAAAAATTGCTTGAATAAAATTAAGAAAAACTATTCAAATAAAAATTTAGAGTAAAATACTTTGACTATCCTCTTAGCTTGCATCAATTATATAGACCTCCTCTCTATTTTAAAAATATACAGTTTATTATAATTAGTTGACACTGTTAGAAATATTCTAAAAAGATTTTAAAAGATACTACTCTGGTCCTAAATATAAAAATCATTTTGTAATATAAATTACACTACAAAATGGGTCTTATATTTATGATCGGAGGAGTGTTATTTTTAACTAAAATTTATATTAAAATAAATTTTATTTACTATTTTACTGCTCATTCTAATAAATTATTAAATTATATTTTTATAGTTACAAGAATTTTTAGTAAAATAGTAAATAAAATTTATTTTAATTTAAATTTTAGTATTATATCTTGTGTGGATACCCTGCCCGCTGATGTTTCTATTATATCTTGTTTTCTTCTGTGAAATACTGAAATGTGTTATTTACTGATTTGTGACGTGGGACTGTGTGGGCATGGATATATTTGAATATGTCCCGTGCCTCTCTCAAGGTTTTGCTTTGAAACTCAAATAGAACGTAAGGGATATTTACAAAAGTTGATTTCACTTTCTTCCGTATTCAGTATCCCCTCATTGATTGCTGCACTGTTTGTAGAAGCTCAAAGAAATCCATCTATATATGTATTATTCTCTCGGTTTCCGCATTGGTCAGATTCCAAATCCTTCCAATGGCGCGTGATGCTGATGCTGTTAGGCATTCTTCAAGCTCTTCTGGTTCAACTAAGAGAAGAATGTATCATGTGTTTTTGAGCTTTCGAAGGGAAGACACTAGGACCAGTTTTACTGATCATTTGTATGCTGATTTAAAACGCAAAGGATTAAAAGCTTTTAGGGATAAGGAAGAACTTGAAAGAGGAGAATCTATCAAACCAAGTTTACAAAAAGCAATTGAGGAATCTCATTGTGCAATTGTTGTGCTTAGTCCAAGTTATGCTTCTTCAACTTGGTGTTTGGATGAGCTTCAAAAGATCCTTCAGTTAAGGGAAGAGTCCAGTCTTCAAGTATTTCCAATATTTTATGGTGTAGATCCGTCTAATGTTAGGAAACAAGAGGGGAGTTTTGCGGAAGCATTGAAGAAGCATGAAGAAAGATTTCTAAAAGACAAAATGAAGGTGCAAAAGTGGAGGGATGCTTTAGAAAAAGTTGCCACTATATCTTGTTGGGACTCAAAAAACTGATAACTTCCACTTCTCTTAGTAATAACCATCTCTGTTTTTTTTTTTTTAAATTTCGGTCAAAAAATAAGGGCAAGGATATTCAAAATAAACTCTGAATTACATCAAGGTTTTTTCTTAATTTTTTAAGGGTAAGGGAACTGCTTAAAACTTCCACTAAATAGCACTATAAACTTCATTTATTTAATTTTAGACTTGTAGTTCTATTTGTTGGTAATATAGAGCTGCAGTACTATAGTGTTGATTTTTTTTGGCCAACACTATAGTATTGATTGTTGATGAAGTAGGTTTCCCAATTGAATTCAATCAATGATAGCATTTTGAATTGGTCATTTTCTTTAATATATCTAGCAGGTATGTCGAATTTTAATAAAATTACACAAATATTATGTAATTTAATCATTAAAAAAATTAATATTAATAATTTCTCTATATTTTGAAGTTTCATTTTTTATTAATTATTCATTAATAATAAATGTTAGTTTTTGATAGTTGGAAGGGTTACCATACAGCATTAGATTTGAACCTTTAATTTGACAATGTATATTGTGAAAAGTTTCCTGAATAACATGAAGAAAAACTACTCAAATTACTCTAAAAGGTCAAATATGAACCATATAACCAAAAAGGGGTTCTCAATAATGAATACTAGTAATGTGTTAATTAAATGACTTCAATATCTAAGGGTTGGCACAGTGTGTACGCGCGCGCACAATGGTGATAACTATAGTTCATAATCTCATTAGAAAATTTAGGGATTTTGCTTCTTTGTATCAAAGACTAGACTGTATTATAGCTTCTCATTCTTCGTGATTGTCTATGATTGTATCCTCTACTCCTAAAAGTTAAATTAAATTTCACGGTGAATTTAAAATCGCTACAGTTGTGGTCATGTTTTCTTTATATCTCATATTAACTATTTAGTGTTTATGCATACAATTTTAAAATTCAAATGACTCAAATGGTCATGATATTTTCATGTCCAGAAATAAAAGCCATATTTTCGTATTATGCAGGCATGAAACAGAATTCATTGAAAGCATTGCTAAGGAAGTGATGTCAAAATTACTTGATGAATCACTATCTGACCTTGGTATGTTAATTGGAATTGAACCAAAATTAGATGAATTGGAGTCAATCGTAGCAAGGGAATCGGAAGGGGTTGGATTTATAGGAATATGGGGCACAGGAGGCTTAGGTAAAACAACTCTTGCTAGAGTATTTTATGAGCGGACGTGCAAAAACTTTGAGATTCACTGCTTGATACATAATATTAGGGAGCATATGAAAAAGATGGTTTGATTTCGTTGCAAAGAAAATTTCTTTTTTCTCTAGATAAAGGATGTATGGAAGTGGGTGATTGTTATGAAGGAATGAAGTTGATAAAAAACATGTTGGGCGACAGAAAAATTCTACTTGTCCTTGATGATGTGAATGATTTAAGCCAACTTGAAAATTTGGCACCAAACCAAGGATGGTTTAGCAAAGGGAGCATAGTAATAATAACAAAAAGGGATAAGCATTTGCTATCATCACATGGAGTAACTGCTATGTATGATGTCAATTACTTGAGTGATAATGAGTCCCTTGAACTTTTCTTTCAAAAAGCTTTTAAAGGAGAGCAACATAATGAAGATTATTTGAACCTTGCTAGAACAATTATAAATATGCCAAAGGCCTTCCTTTAGCCCTCAAAGTGTTAGGTTCATTTCTTTGCAAGAGAACTATGGGGGAATGGAAGGATGCACTAGCTAAGTTCAAGAAAATTCCTCTAAATGACATTTTGAAGATGCTTAAAGTAAGTTTGGATGGATTAGACATTAATGAGAAGACTATATTTTTGGATATTGCTTGCTTTTTTAATGGGATGGCCAAAGATTGTGTCATACAGATTTTAAAAACTTTGGACAAGGATCTTCACCCAGAAATTGGAATAAATATTCTTATTGAGAAATCACTTATAATTAATCGTGAAGAGCATTTGTGGGTCCATGAAATTCTCCAAGATGTGGGAAAATATATTGTCTATCAAAAATCACATGATGATGCCGGCAAGCGTTCCAGGATATTGTCTTTGGAGGATGTCAATCATGTGCTAGAAAGAAATAAGGTGATATTCTTCCAAAGTTCTTGTACTTATGTGCTCTTTTAATATTGATATATTTCATAACTTTTTCTTACATTTTTACCTTGACTTGTTGTTTTATAGGGGACAAAAGCAATCCAGGAATAATTCTTACATTAGAAAAGTCATCTGACGTATTTTGAGATCCTGAAGCTTTCTCAAAGATGAGTAATCTCAAGTTACTTATCATTTCAGGTCACTCACATGATTTAGATTTTCAATTGAATCTTTCTTATGGACTCAAATACCTTTCCAATGGACTAAAAGTCATAGAATGGGAGGGGTTTCCATTATTTTATTTGCCAAGTCAATCTCAACTCCATGAACTTGTTGAGCTAAAAATGCGACAAAGTAAGTTAAAAGAACTCTCGGGGGAAGACAGGTAATGACAACCCTTTTCATTTAAATTGTTTGTTCATAATTTAATACTATTTCCGGTTCTTAATATAAAAACTCATTGGAGATTCAAAATACTTAATGGTCTTATGCGAGTCTGATCCATCAAAATGAATCTCAAAATACTTCAAGTACCTCTCTGCCTTAAAAATCCAATCCAGTGCATCTGATCCATCAAAATGTTAAAAATCCACCTTAATGGTCTTATGCGAGTTCTGAATAAAGTTCACTAGTTCTACAATCGGTATTCTGGAGGTTGAATCCTTAGATCTTGAAGGTGATGATTCTGGTTGTCTCAAGCTGTCTATCGACTACACTAGGGAATGTAACAGAGATTCCATAGAATCGAATCGTCGATCAATGTGGTCAAAATGCCCCTTAGCTTCTTCTACAAACTCATTTGTCCTCTTTATATCAGCTTGTAGTTCCTTCAAGCGGTTGTTCTCTGCCTTGTTCCCTAAACCTCTCAATGAAAGCACCAAATGTCACGTTAGTGAGTGCGATAAAAATCTATGCGAGAAATTAACAGCTCTGTGTTAGAAACAATCTCACCCAAGAGGGGGGTGAATTGGGTGAGTTACAAAAATTTAAGAATTAAATGCGTGCAAGTATTGAATGAAACAGAGAGTCAGAGTAAGGAGAAATTTAACCGCAGAGAAGAGACACAAGATTTATACTGGTTCGGTCTCAACCACGTGACCTACTTCCAGTCCCCAGAACACCTCTGAGTATTTCACTATCTTCCAAGATCGACAGGGCTCTTGGTGCCTCGGTACAGTAATTGAATCGCTCAATCACTCCCCCTTACTCCCGTAAGGATACAACCCCTCTCAAGAGTCCACACTCTTGAGTGTCTCTCAAGTTTTTAATGAAAGTAGTGAATGGCTCTCTTACAGAGTGAATTCAATGATAAACACTGATGCTCAGTAGTAAAGTGAAAAACAGAGTATTGAATGCGTAACTAAATAATAGCAGATGGTAGCTCCGGTATTCAATACTCTTCATTAATGCCTCTTCGCGCCTTTTATAGTTGATATCGTTAAATAGCCGTTAGACGGAAGGCTTCTAGCCGTTGTGACTTCGTTTGCGTGTTTCACTGGTTTTAACTGCTCCGCCATTAATGCGTCTGAGTTTCTGACACTGTAGGTCGCAGTCTACGTAATCCCATTGAAGAGCCGTTGCACTCGTTTTCATTAATCTGCATATTTCAAACTTAGAACAAGTGAGAATTTTGTGGTGAGTGCTTTAACCTTGAATACAGAAGGAAGGCTAATTTATCATTCAAGATTTGTGACGAGATCATTTATCAGTAACAAGAACAGAGTGTCATTCCGGTTTGGTTTGATCGAAAAGATGATCGATTACTTGATGATAGATCAAGTTATCGATAAACGGAATGAAGACTTTTCGAAATAGATCACTAAAGTTATCGATCAAGTGTTGGATCATCGGCTCCAAGAATTTTCATAGAAAGAGGAAATCATTGCATGATCGAACAAGTGATCGATCATATAATTGACCGAACAGATTATCGATAATTTAGATGTTATTAAAATGAAGCTTCAGTCATTGATGATCGAACATCTTATCGATAAATATATGATAGATAATATTATCGATAAAACATGGTTATGTAAATAATCAAAGGAAGACACATGCTATTTGAAATGATCGAACAGCTGATCGATCATTAACTATTCGAACAAGTGATCGATAATAGTGAAGAAAGAAGTTTGATCCTGTAAGGTAAGGAAAATGATTATCGATCACGTTTTGTGAAAACATGAAGTTCGGGGAATTGAATGATCGATCATTTTATCGAAAATCCAGTGATCGATAACTTGATCGAAAATTAGTTCATCATAACTTAATGCTAATATGTCAATTCTCAGACTCTTTATCGAACACGTTATGTGAAAAACTTATTTAAGCAAACAAGTTAAAATTATCGATAATGTTATCGATAATTTAGCTGTAGCAAAACTGAGTAAGAGTTAAAAAGAACATTGATTATCGATCATGTAATCGAAAATTTTGTGATCAATAAAATTATCGATCTATCAGTGAATTTGATCTCCTGCATTCAGAGAGTTAGAGCATAAAGTTCGAGTACGTAATCGATAAACAAATGATCGAAAATATGATCGATAAATTTGTAACTGAACTAATGTGCAGAACAAGTAGAGAGTGTTACCTTTTATCGAAGTCGTTATTGATGACTGATTTATCGATAACTTGATCGATAAATGCACTCGGTTTCTTATCAGTAACTCGATTGCTTACCTGATATTATCGATCAGCTTATCGATAATTTCCATACTCTTATGTGATTTTTACATTAGCGATTATCGATCCCTTTATCGATAAACTATTCATCGAATAGTTCTTCGATCAAAAAGACTACTATAGACCTGATTTACACTTGATCATTTATCTGAAATCTTAGCGATAACTGATTGTTCGATTAGTTGATCGATCAAAATACTTAACCCTGATATTCTGACTTGTTATCATCAAAACTATAATCCTAACACTCTGAATGTATATATGTATGTCAATAAGGGTGCGATTACAGAGCTTATTCAACCTCATGAGTTGAGCCACATGATACAGAATAACAGAAAGAAGAGAATGATAGAAAAATGCAGGGAGAGAGAATTACAGAGAATCTGTCAGGACGGAAATAACCAATATCATTCACTCCCCTTCCCTCTAACCACCTGTCCTTATATAACCATTTCCGTGTTCTCTAGTTCTTGAAGCTTCCAAGGCTTCTTCCATGCTCGCTGGCTCCTTCGCAGTATGTTGGGCTGCTCCACAACTCTTGGATTATCCTTATCAAAGCCTTCATTTTCCGCATCTGTTACAACCGTCTTTGTCACTATTGAGCGAATTGCATTTACATTTTTGCAAACTCCATGATGGATCACTTCCCGATGTCATGAATGAGTTATCATCATTGCAAGTTTTAAATCTAAGTGGAAACAATTTTATTGACGTACCATCTGGCCTTATTTTCAATCTTTCAAAGCTTAGGGCTATTGCCCTCGCTTATTGCCCAAGGCTTCAGTCTTGGCCACAATTTCCTTCAAATTTGTCATTTATAATTGCAAATGGTTGTTCATCAATGAAATATTGCAGAAGTTCACGGCATGATGGGATTTCATTGGATCATTTCAACCCCAGGTTTATTTTATTTGTCTTTATTTTCTTCTTACACCTTAGTCGTTTTACCTCTTTAACATGGAAAATTGTTTCTCACAGGTTCGCAACCATTTGAATATCAAGCCTGCAATTATACAATGGGACTCAAAAGTTGTAAGTTTTTAGAATCACTTGATTGTTTTTCCTTAAACTTGTACATACTACATACATGTTACAATTTCTTACGTGTTAATTATCATACTTCTAACACAAACTATCTGTTTTTTTTTTTTTTTTGGGTCCCAGCGTGAGTTCTTCTTGGAACGTACTCGCGTATTGATGATTCATGGTACCGAAGTGCCATCATGGTTTTATAACCAAAACTACTTTTGTGAGAAAGAATTCAATCATGCAAATGTGTCTTTTATAATAAGCTTGCCCACTGGTTACTGTGGTTCAAGTGAATGGCGGGGCATAGCCATATGCTTCATATTAGAACATAATTTTGCAACTGGAGCAGAGGTGGATGCAGTTTGGTGGACGTTAAGATTTCCTATTGATGAATTTCCGAAGACGTATTGTCGCACTAAGGTTTATATAGATTCGTATGGTGGTCCTCAACTTTGTATGATATATATTCGTTGTTCCTCTTTGGTTGTAAACGGACTTCAAATGGTATTCTTTGCTAAGAATGCAATTGAAAACAAGTCACCAATGTTTAGAATAAGGAAGTGTGGGTGGCGAGCAGTGTGTAAAGAAGATGTTGAAGCTTGACAAAGAGCCCGTGGGACGAAGGTTGTAGTAGCATCAATAATTACATCATCGGTGACGTTAAGAAAAATGGAGGTTATAATCACTCCCTGAGACATTATGATCGATTCGTTGTTGAAGAAGACGAGTCAACTTCCAAGGTAAATAGATCAACCCTTGTTTTGGATTAAATTTTATATTTTATATTAATGCATGCTTGATGGGTGTTTGGATTTCTCTTTGATACATTGACTTAATATAATCTTTCAATTCATTAAATATTATATTTCCCTAATTATTTCATTTCCATAGGCATTGATCAATTCATAGTATTGGGTTTGCTTTCTTGGGATTCTTTTTTTTTTTTTGACTTTTACTTGTATGACATAATTTAATTGCAACTGTCTGTCAAAGATCAAACTAGATCTTATGTATTCCCTTAATTTTTTTTTAATATTTCCATTGATTTGTGGCAGATAGTCATAAGTTGAAGGAGGTTTTACATCATTTTTATGTTTTAGCACATAATTATGCGTGATAGTTAGTTTTTTTTTACGCAATTATAAGAGAGAATTCCGATGTGAAGACATACATTATTACTTTTTTAGTATATACCCTTGTTCAAAAGAATGACTGGGCATAGCTGTGCTTAGTATTAGAAACTAATTTGGTATCACTTCGATGAAATTAATTTGCTGGACTAACATATCTCCTTAAGATGCATATTGTTGCATATTGTGACAATATTACTCTCTACGGTCTTTACTATAAAGACTTATGAACAATTTCATATAAATTTAAGAATTTAGTTAATATTAATTATTAATATTTTAAAAAAAATTAAGATTATCCTCAATGACCGAGTTCATTATTGGAGGAGGTTGGTAGGTAAAGAAACATCAAGTTCATTAAGATAAGAAACTAACACTTAAAAGACAAGATTTTAAGATATAGATGATTTAATTGCCATCGGTATCCAAATATATATATATATATATATATATTATGCATATTATATTCGTTGTTCTTGTTTTGTTTCTAATCGAACCAACTTGAAATCTCATTTAACACTATGTATTAAGTCAGTACTGTTTAAGATAAGTGTGAGTGGTGCGTCTTGCGCAGAAATGTTGAAAGATGGCAAAAATCTAGAGATGAAGTTGATATTGATTCAACGTTCCCAGTGACATTGAGAATACAGAAGGCAGCTTTGGTCACCCAAAAAAAAAAAAAAAACAGAATATAAAAGGCTGCAGCTGTTGGGAGTGGATGTCAAAACTCTTGGCATTCTCTTGAGCATCTATTTTAGATTTGGTACTAAAGTGCATTTCAAGTTTCTTGTTTTTTTTTTTTTATATCGAGCTGTATCTGTACTAGTTATAAAAGTCTTATAGAAAACATTTTTTTCATCGCTGTAAGCAGTTTGTTTTTGCATTGTCGAGTCAGTTCTAGGTACATGCTTTGTTTCTTTTAGTCAGGATTTCTTGTCACTTAAACATGTGAATATGACCCTCCATACGAAAGGGGTGATTTGTCAATTTCTTTTGGGAAAACCCAATTTCCGGTCCTTAGAGTTGAGGTCAGCTTTGGTCAAGGTTCCTGGAGTTTGTTTTTAAAGGAATTGGTCCTTCAAATTTAAAACTGTTAAGCCGTTAGTCCTGCTTCTTGAGGGTGCTGATGTGCACTAACAGTGTTAATAGTGATCATGGGCAAAAAATAATGAGTTGACAACTTGGCATTTTAATTTTAACTCAGACAACAATGTGATAAAGAAAAGAACGAAAGAAACGCAATCATGGAACGCAGAGTGGACGAGGGCCTGCAAGCAGAGGGGGTGGCTGGCAAAGAGAGGGTACAGATCGCGAAGGGCTTGGGATCGACAAAGGAGGTCGCGAGAAGGGTATAGATCTTCAAAGGAAAAGAAGGGTTGGCGATGGTAAAGAGATCCAGTACTCTTAACCTTCACCTCCTCCTCATTCATTTGTTCTCTATTCTCTCTTTTTCCATGTCAATTTTTTTTTTGTTATTTGTTTTTTCAGATTGTGTATTGCGTTTTTGTTCTCTCTCTCGTTGGGGAATTGGTTGTTGGGCATCATAGACTATGATTTTCTTGTTGATTTTAATTTCTGGGCATCATAGAGTACGATGTTGTTGGAATCAATTTTGCCTCTGGCTGTGAATAACTTTACCCATTCTGCTTATGGTTCTGCATACGACAGGAGGTCTTATTATCTGGCCTAAAAAATGGCTCGCTCACCCAGGTGTCAGGGATGGGTTGCAGGTCGATGCTTGTATATCATGTGGGAGAAGAGGAATAATGTTCTGTATGGTAAATGTCTATTAACTAATGAGGGCGTGTTGCATTGACGACTGAGACAGATGAATTGTTTGATTATATGGATTTTGATGGTAGAAGAATTAGGAACTATAAGAATGCAAGGTTGGTTCACAACAAGCAAGAATGGTTACGTCCAGTGAGGGAGGAAGACAATCTTTGCTTTCAAACCAGTTGGGTTATGAAGTGGCAGTGAAGATTTCACGTGACAAATGATCACGGGGAGGATGATGCTTTGCATGAGAATATCAGGGAATTAATGACCATGTTAATTTTTTTGATGCAGTTGGAGTTTTAATTTTTTTGATTGGTATGATATCCTTGTAATATAGGGGAGGGGCTAGTCTGAATTAGTGGGTTTTTTCAGTAGGCTATGATGTATGGCATTGGATATTAGTTTACCATTTGTTGTACTGCATTTGCCAATGCACCGATATTATTTTAATGGTAGAAATGCTATGATATGCCAGATCAGCATCAACTTTGATATATTGGTAAACATGGAGTTTTAATTTTCAATGCACTATCATCTAAGTCTGGATCATAATTTTTTTAAAAAAATAAAGGCAAAATAATATTAATGATAATAATAAGGTTCAAAGTACAATAATATAAGAACAAAAAAGCCGAATTATTAGGGCTAATAATAATATAGAGTTAAGCTATAAATTTGTAGTTTGCAATTTAAAGTGCTAAGTCTCTGGAAGTAGTTTTTGGTTTAATGTCATTCTAAAAGTTTTCAAATTGTAGTAATGTTGTCCTAATCGTTATTTGGGTTAAGTTTGACCATTAGTTAACTAATTATATTGAGTTGGCATGTTCACGTGTTGTCCACATTATTTTTCTTTCTCGGTTAAGTGCAAATTTGCCCAGAAAGGTTTTACTTAGGAGCGCTTGGTATTCTAAAGTTTTCAAATTATAGTAATGTTACCCCGATTGTTATCCATGATAAATTTGATCATTAATTAATCAAATATGTTGAACTGGTAGATCCACGTGTGATCTATTTTATTTTTTCTTCAAGGTGAGGATTTAGCACTAACTTTGAAAAAATCAATGCTTCTGTGCTTTTTAAGCCTGTGGCTATTTTCGAAGTCGTCCTCATTATTTATATCTTTTAAGAATTCTTGTGAGCTTCTTCTTATATATGTTCTTGTAAAACGTATTAAACTAATAGCGAATGACAAAATAACAGATGTGGAAAGAGTTGTTTTTGTGTGGGAGAAATAGCATTAATGTATGATCTAGGAACGATGTGGATCACATGTAAACATACCAACTCAATATATTTGGTTAGTTAATGATCAAATTTAACATTGATAACAGTTAGGACAATATTGCTGCAATTTGAAATTTTAGAATACTCAGCGCTTATGAGTGAGAACTTTTGGGGTAAATTTGCACTTAACCTAAAAAAGAAAATGACATGGACGACACATGGATCTGCTAGGTCAGCATAGTTGATCAATTAACGGTCAAACTTAACCCTCAAGAAGTAGAAGGACTAACGGCTTAACAGTTTTAAATTTGAGGGACCAATAGCTTAAAAAACAAACTTTAGGGACCTTGACCAAAGTTGACCCAAACTACAAGGACTAGAAACTGGGTTTGCCCTTTTCTTTTTGAATTTTCCCACCACTATAGAAATGATATTTTACGTTGGTTACATAGGACTTTTCATGTCGGCCAATGGAGGGACGAAAATGTGAACGATTTAGCTTGTGTTCAAAATTTACATCGGTTAAACAATGTGAAATTTTTTTTAAAAATGTAAGTTAAAATATAACCAATGTGAATGCTGTTTTTCTAAAAAACAAATCACAACTATTCAGTCTCTTATCTTCCATTATTATAAACACAAAAAAAAGAATAACTCAATCATTAGAATTACAGAAGCACTATATATTTCATACTCATCAAAAAAGAGACTATAATTCCAATAAAGTATACTACATTTGATCCTTAATATAGAACTAGTCAACTAATTTGAGTAGATTGATGAAGTTTGTTAAATTAGTTATTTGTAATAAATATTATTTTTTCTAGAATACTCTTAATAATCATATGTATTAGCTAAAATTATCATTTGATAGAACTCTTAACATACGCAACTATTACAATGACTACTCTGAAAAAAATAGATAAATATGAAAGATAAAATTGATAAGAAATCTTATATTTAAGACGAAATTAAATGTCAAACTAGTTTTTATATTAAGAATCAGAGACAGTAGTACCTATTAGTTCTTTCTTAAAGTCGTAGGTGCCTAGACAATCTAAGATATGAATCTTCAAAAGCATTTTTGATGGAGAAGATGGAAAAGGTATAGGAGTGTCGAACCTTGGAGCGAACCAGATTTGATGAAGAAACTCGTGAGGCATGAATATTTTGGGTCACTTTGATTTTTGTTAAGATTTAGGAGTGTCGCACCTCAAATTTGAAGCAAGAGTCAAACTTTGGGAATCTTTTAGCTTGACGACGGCAGTAACACTGGCGTAAGCTGAAAAGGATGATCTTGTATCCTAAGTGTGTGAGGCGGGACTGGTGATGCATGCAATGTTATTCTGGGTTGAGGGAACGAAGAAGAAAGGAAAGAAAATAGAATTGAGGCTGAGGTGGGAGAGTGAAGGGAGAAAATAAAACGTTAGATTAAAAATAACCAAGGATCGTGATAAAGGTCTGTACATATTAATAGTTTCATTTCTTTATTTTTTTTAAAAAAATTCAAATAATTTTGTCCTCCTCTTCGTGTTCAGTTCCAATGGCTCCATTCTTCTTCATGGTCAATGTCACTGTACCATTATCCTGTTTTTGAATTAGCTAATCTTACATTCTTCGACTCTTAATATAAAACTTAATTAATTATTTTGAGCAAATTAAATATATTAGTTAAATTAGTTAATATGATATGTTTTTTCAAAATACCTTAATCATCTTCTTTAATTTATTTCCTCCCTCTCTCATTTGATTATTATTGAAGGAATATTATTATGGTTAATTTAAAAAGCATTGATAAATATGTGAATGGGTCTTACATATAGGACTAATATCAACTCTCAAATTATATTCTATATTAAGGACTGGAGGAATATTATATTATTTGCTACTACCTCTGATCCTTAATATAATATTTTGTTTGACTTTTATTTGGTCCTAAATATAAAATCCCAATCTATTTTGTCTTTTATATTTATATAATTTTTTAAAGATAGTCTTTCTAACAATAGTAGTTCTAATCAATAAATTTGATTAGCAAATAGCAAAGATAATATCTATTTATTATAAATTACTAATTTATTCATTTTTTTTAATCTACTCAAATTCTTTATTCTTGTATATGTTTATGATCGGAGATGGTGTTTGTTAGTGTGGAGTTTAAAATGTGTGTTGGGAAGACTGGGCCAAGTAGAGAACCCCGCCGCGCAGTAGCAGCCACCTTTGTTTGTGGAGATTGTTCATCTTCACCACAAATCTCAGCATCCCTCCATTGATTCGACTGAAAAGGGTCGTCGCGTGAGAAGATTATCTTTCTTTCTGTTTTCATTTTTGATTCCCTGGTTTATTGTTTGTGGTTTTGTAATTCGGAGCAGGACCAAAACACTGTAATTTGTATGTAATGTTCGACCTTCGAAGTTACAAAAGGAAAAGTGCAAACTCTTGTAATGCTGCCACTGCCATCAGGAAAAGAAAACTTCAAAGCACTAACCACGAAGTTAAAATCGTAAAATGGTGAAGGGAACCCAACAAGATATCAGGTTATTCTTCATGAAATTAATAGAGGTTACGCTTCTAAAATTTAATTTAACAGTTAAAAATTATTTTGAACAAGTTTTAATCATGTAAATCACATGTCTTGATATACATACAGAATTGAGGGAAAAGCGCTGCGCTAAAATGAGCTTAATAGTAACAAATGAAGCCGCGTGGCCTAAATTAGGGCTTTTCAATTTTGAGCATAATATATATTGCCAAGCCTATGAACTTTTTTTTTTCCCCTAAGAAAATAAAATTATGGAAAATTAAAATTTCATTCTTTAAAATTTCATTCAATATGTAATTAGGGCCGATACTCTTCAAGGCTTGACACTGATTTCTCCTGAGCTTAACTTTTGTTTTTTTTCTTTTCAATATTCACAGAGGATTTAGCTTATGTCTGAACAATAAAATTTCGACAAGGTAATATTTGTACATGCACGATTGAAACAAGCAGAAGGCAAAGGATCCTCTGTTTACCTCTGTTTTCGGACCCCAAAAACAGAGGCAATGGAAATAATATGATAATAGCATGGGATGATATCCAAACACTCCTAAAACAGAGTCAATTTCGACTATTGTTCTTCGTACGGCGTATATTCTTTATCTATTCAAATCTCAACACTCCACTGACATGAAGATGATATCTATTGTTTGATCGTTGATTTTTTTGTCTACTTATTCAACATTTGCATGCTTGCAATTTACTTTCTGATCAAAATATTAAAATATGACAGCAAAAAACTTTAAGGAAGTCCACCACAGTAAAGAAAAAAAAACTGCCTGCCATTCAAATAATCTTTAACTCATTTGTAGACATACAAGGAGTCTCGTTTTTCTTTTCTTTTCTTTGTTTTTTTAAATTTCGGGGGTAGAAAGTGAGATAATGAAATGGCTAAATCATAACAGCTACTTAATTAATGGTGAGAAGGAACGCCATTCGCGGTGCAAGGAGTTAATCAAAAGGATATAAACTGCGGGACCTAATTATATATTCAATGAGATTATAAAGATTAAAATTTTAATTTTCCATAATTTTTATTTTCTAAAATACATGGACTAATTTGTAAATGAATAAACTATAAGAATTGAGCTGCATCGAATTAAAGTTTAGAAATTAAGTTACAATTCAGTTAAAATTATAGGATTGAATTGCACCGAGTTATAATCTAAGGATTGAGTTACAAATGAGTTAAAAGTATAAGAATCAAAATATTAATTTTCCCTATATATATAATTATTATGGTGGCCGTAAAAAAATTATTATTAAAAATTAAAAGCAGCTAGATTACTATTACCTCTAATATTTAATATATATATATATATAACCTAGTTGAGTAATTTGAAAAAGATTTATTAACTTGTTTAATTATAACATATGAGCAGATCATTAGATCATGTATCAAGTTATAAATGAGACAAGTTAGTTTAAACCAAAAGATAAATATAACTAATTTATAGTGATGTAGTAACTCTTTTAATTTTTTCAAATTAATCGTCTTACGAGAAGTAATATTATATTCTTAGCCAAAAAAAAAAAAGACAAAGAAATCTGGATCACTGTGATATTACCGAAGAGTAAAACCTGAGACCACTTGAAATGAATATCTAAAACAAGAACTTGAATATTACTCGGAAGTTGCACAGCACCTTCCAAAATCTTCTTGTGTTGCCTTTCTAACTCAGTAGGCAAAAGATGATAGACATCCTTTGTGAACCGAAACAAAGAAAGATAGAGTTTTAATACTTTAGAGTTGTTTCTCATTTTTTGGGAGAATTCTATGGAAATGGTAATACAGGAATTTGCTGTTTTCTATCATTTCCCATATTGAAATATCGCAGGAAGTATAGTTTATAACTTCAAGATAATCTCGTACCTAAAATCTATTTATAAACACTTGTAATCATGTTTTATATAAACTGAGATAAAATTCTTCTTATATATTTACTTCATATTTTTCAAAGCTACTTATAGGCCATTACTAATAAGCTAGTATTTTGAAATTAAGTTCTCTAAGAAATGCACCATCATGAATCTCTCACACTGAGGGGCTATTTCATCTAATGAATTAATTAGTCTTTTAAAATTAAATTCTGTCTTAATTTCCAGTAATTACATTATGCAAATGTCTAAAAAGTGAAAAAGGAAAACCCAATAAAGGACTGACGTAGGGTCACATGGTTCTGTCCTTCAGCAAAAGGAACAGTGTCCCGTCCGTAGCGCGGTTTGAAATGTCAACGCCCAAAGACTGGAAGACTTAAGAGAAGAGAGGACTTGAGCTCACACCCGCCATTTTCACTTCTCGTTGTTTCTCCATTTTTCTTTCTATAAAATTTGTACCAGGCTGCTGGATTCATCTTATATCAAGCTGGTGGGAATCGAACAAATCTTTCGATATTATTTCCTCTTTCAGCTTTCTACTTTCTCCCTTTCTCCTTTCTACATTTATGATCACCAAAATGCCTGTTTTAGATCTATGAAATTTTGCTTTGAAATTATGCGTGAAGAGTGAATGAATCTCGCGGCAAGAAGAACCTTGTCTGTTGATGTTTCTATTATATCTTGTTTTCTTCAGTGAAATGGATTGTTTCTGCTATAGATCTTCGGGCATTTTGTGATTTTGAATTTTTACTCTATTTGTTTTAATATGCACAATGCCTATCTCAAGGCTTGGCATTGGACTGATTGCTGCACTCATTGTTGAAGCTCCTATTATATATGTATTATTCTTTCTGTTTTTGTGTTTTTACTTTTGTTTGGGTTCAGATTCCAAATCCTTGCGATGGCGCGTGATGTTGATGGAGTTGGGTGTTCTTCAAGTTCTTCTGCCTCAACTAAGAGATGGAAGTATGATGTGTTTTTGAGCTTTTGAGGGGAAGATACTCGGAAAAATTTTACTGATCATTTGTATGCTGCTTTAAAACACAAAGGATTAAGAACTTTTCGGGATGAGGAAGAACTTGAAAGGGGAGAATATATTAATCCAGGTTTAGTACAAGCAATTGATGAATCTCGTTCTGCAATTGTGGTGCTCTCCCCAAATTATGCTTCTTCAACTTGGTGTTTGGATGAGCTTCAAAAGATCCTGCAGTTAAGGGAAGAGTCGAGTCTTCGAGTATTTCCTATATTTTACGGTGTAGATCCCTCTAATGTTAGGAAACAAAAGGGATGTTTTGCAGAGGCATTCATAAAGCATGAAGAAAGATTTGTACAAGACAAAATGAAAGTGCGAAAATGGAGGGATGCTTTAGAAAAAGTTGCTACTATATCTGGTTGGGACTCACAAAATTGGTAATTACTTTTCTCTCAATAACAATCTTTTATTTTTATTTTGTTGAAAATAAGGGTGTTGATATTCAACTAAACTTTAGAGTTCATTTATTTGCTAGCAAAATTAATAGACTTGTAGTGCTATTGTTAATATTTATTGTTGACGAAATAGGTTTCTCAATTGAATTCAATCAATGATAGCATTTTAAAATGGTCATTTTTCTTTAGCGTATCAAGCAGGTCTGTTGACTTTTAGTAAAATTACATAATATAATTATTATGTAATTCAATAGTTAAAAAATTAATATTAACAATTTCTCTGTATTTTGAAGTTTCATTGTTTATTTTTGTCCAAAAGAAAACTTTCGTTGTTTATTTATTAATAATTAATAATATCTATTATTTTTTTATGGTTGGAAATGTTACCATGCAGCGTTACATATTGAACTTTTAATCTGACGTTGTTCCTTAAATAAAACAAAGAAAAACTACTCAAGGGTCAACTATAAAACATGTTACCAAAAAAAGTGAACTCCAACAATCATATGTTTACGTTAATATAATTAAGTGGCTACAGTATTTAGGAGTTCGCAAAGTGTGTGTACACACGCACAATGGTAGCAATCTTCTTTCTTAATCTCTTTTGCATCAAGACTAGACTATACCGTAGCTTCTCACCCTCTGTGTCTGTCTGTAAATACTAGAAGCTCTGCGCAACTCTTCAATACTGAAATTATTTTCATGTCGGTATAATTATATTTTCCTATGCAGGCATGAAATGGAATTCATTGAAAGCATTGCTGAAGAAATCATGTCAAAGTTACTTGATGATGAATTGCCATCTGACCTTGGTATGTTAATTGGAATTCAACCAAAATTAGATGAATTAGAGTCAATCGTCGCAAGGGAATTGGGAGGAGTTGGGTTTATAGGAATATGGGGTACAAGAGGCATAGGCAAAACAACTCTTGCTAGAGCTTTTTATGAGCGAAAGCTCAAAAACTTTGAGATTCACTGGTTTCTTCATAATATTAGAGAGGCATATGAAAAAGAAGGTTTGATTTCATTGCAAAGAAGACTTCTTTTTTCTTCAGAGAAAAGAAGTATGGAAGTGTGTGATTGTTATGAAGGAATGAAGTTGATAAAAAACATGTTGCACAACAGAAAAGTTCTACTTGTCCTTGATGATGTGAGTGACATTAGCCAACTTGAAAATTTGGCTCCAAAGCAAGGATGGTTCAACAAAGGGAGTATAATAATAATAACAACTAGGGACAAGCATTTGCTATCCTCGCATGGTGTATCTATTAAGTATGATGTGAAATTCTTGAGTGATAATGAGTCCCTTCAACTTTTCCTTCAAAAAGCCTTTAAAGGAGATAAACCTAATCAAGATTATTTGAACCTTGCCAGAACCGTCATTGAATATGCTAGAGGCCTTCCTTTAGCGCTCAAAGTGTTAGGTCCATTTCTTTGCAAAAGAACTATTGTGCAATGGAAGCATGCACTAGCTAAGTTCAAGAAATTTCCTCCAAATGACATTTTAAAGATACTTCAAGTAAGTTTTGATGGATTAGACATTACACAAAAGACTATTCTTGGATATTGCTTGCTTTTTCAATGGAATGGTCCAAGATCATGTCATACAAATTTTAGAAATTTTGGACAATGATCTTCACCCAAAAATTGGAATAAATGTTCTTATTGAGAAATCCTTAGTAATTACTTATGAAGGGCATTTGTGGGTGCATGAAATTCTTCAAAATATGGGTAAATATATTGTCTACAAAAAATCACCTGATGATGCCGGCAAGCGTTCTAGGTTATTGTCCTTGGAGGATGCCAATCATGTATTAGAAAACAATAAGGTGACATTCTAGAGTTCTCGTGTTTTTGCACTATTTTTATAACAATTTATTCCATGACTTTTATATATTTTTACCTGAACTTGTTTTGTAGGGGACAGAAGCTATTCGGGGAATAATCCTCACATTAGAAAAGTCATGTGATGCATTTTGGGATCCTGAAGCCTTCTCAAAAATGAGTAATCTCAAGTTACTTATCATTTCAAATTGCTCACATGTTTTACGTTTTCAATTGAATCTTCCTTATGGACTCAAGTCCCTTTCCGAAGAGTTGAAAGTGATAATATGGGAGGGGTATCCATTATTTTACTTGCCAAGTCAACCTCAACTCCATCAACTTGTTGGACTAATAATGCGACATAGCAAGTTAAAAGAACTTTGGAGCGGAAGACCGGTAATTATAGCCCTTCCATTTAAATTATTTGTGCATAACTTAATAATTTATAATTATAATTAGTTTTTGGTTTTTGAGGCCTTAATGTTTCCCCTTTTTTTGTTGTTAGTCTCTCCAAAGCCTCAAGTCCATTGATCTTTCTTATTCAGAGTACCTCAACAAAACCCCAAATTTTGATGGAATTCCTCATCTTGAAAAATTGATTCTTGAAGGGTGTTCTAACTTGATTGAAATTCACCGATCCCTTGGACAACACAAGAAACTCGTCATTGTTAACTTGAAAGATTGCAGAGAAGTTAAAAACCTTCCAAGGAAATTTGAGATGAATTGCTTAGAGACTTTTGTTCTATCTGGTTGTTCAAGAGTTATAAAACTTCCTGAGTTTGGAAAAGATATGGAACGTCTGTCTAAACTTGATTTAGAGGGGACTGCTATAACAAAACTGTCTCAATCACTGGGCAATTTGATTGGTCTTGAGGAGTTAAATTTGAAGAATTGTAAAAAGCTGGTTTGTCTTCCATGTGATGTTTGTAAATTGAAATCTCTGAAAATGATCAAAATTGCTGGCTGCTCAAAGTTTTCAAGCCTACCAGAGAATTTGAACGAAAAAGAGGCTGTGGAAGTGCTTGATTTGAGAAAAATTGCTATAAAAAGGCTTTCACTTTGTGAATACAATGGTGAAGCACAATCTTCCTCATCATGGAGTTGCTTCTCCCTTATTCAAAGGCCTTCGAGCTCAACAAATTTTATGTTATCGCCGTCTTTGTCATACATGAGCCAATTAGAATTAGGTTTTTGCAACCTCCACGATGGATCACTTCCTGATCACATCAATGGGTTATCATCGTTGGAATATTTAGATCTAAGTGGAAACAATTTCATTGACCTACCATCTTCCCTCATTTCCAATCTTTCCAAGCTTACTGTTCTTGGTCTCGGTTATTGCCCTAGGCTTCGGTCTTTGCCACAACTTCCGTCAAATCTATCAGCTATATTCGCAAACGGTTGCCCGTCAATGGAACATCACAGAAGTTCACAACAGTTATGGGATCTCATTGGATCATTTCAACCTCGGGTTTATTTTATTTGTCTTTGCTTGTTCTTTCATGTTGGTCATTTTACTTCTTTAACATGGAAAATTGTTTCTTATAAGTTCACAACTATTTAAATATCAAGTCTTCAACTATAAGAAGGGATTCAGAAATTGTGAGTTTTTAGAATTACTTGAATCTTTTCTTAAATTCTTTGATAATAAATATCTAGTTTATTTGACTTTTACATGTATAGTACCATTTCTTCTGATTAATTATCATGCTTACAACAAAAGAATTTTTTTTTTGTCCCAGCGTGACTTCTTCATGCAACCTACTCGCCTATTAATAATTCCGGGTAGCCGAGTGCCATCATGGTTTTATAATCAGAACTACTTTTGTGAAAAAGAATTCAATCATCCAAACGTGTCATTCATAATAAGCATATCCCCTGATTATTGTGATTCACGTGAGTGGTGGGGCATAGCCATATCTTTAATGATAGAAAATGATTTTGCATTTGGATCAGGGGTGGATGCAATTTGTTGGACTTACAGATTTCCAAATGATAAATTTCTAATTACATATCATAGCCATGATATTTATTAAGATTCAAGTTGTGGTCATCAACTTTGTATTATATATATTCGGTGTTCCTCTTTGATTGTGAACGGACTTCAAATGGTATTTTTGGCTAAGAATGCAATTGTAAAAAAGTCCCCAACATTTAAAATAAGAAAGTGTGGGTGGCGAGCGGTGTGTAAAGAGGATGTTGAAGCTTGGAAAAGAACAAGGAACGAAGATTGTAGTAGCATCAATAATTACAATATCAGTGAAGTTGAGAAAAATGGAAGTTATGGTCACTGCCCGAGACATCATTATCCATTCATTGTTGAAAAAGATGAGTACATACTCCCAAGGTGCGTAGATCAACCCTTCTTGTTTTAGATTAAATATATGATGGCTATTTAAAATTTTCTTTGATGCACTAATGTAATATAATCTTTCAATTCATATAAGTATTATATTCCCCTAATTATCTCATTTTCATAGGCGCTGTTCGGTTAATGGTTTTGGACGGATTTGTTTCCATATCTTGGATAATTTTTCTTATCTTTCACCTTTTACTTGTATGACATAATCTATTTTCAACAGTCCATCAAAGGTCAAACTAGATTTTATATTCCCTTAATTTTTTTTCCATTGATTTGTGGCAGAAATCATAAGTTGAAGAAGATTTTACCTCATTTATATGTTTTAGCACATCATATAATTATGTCCTATAATAGTCTTTTTTTACACAACTATAAAAGAGAATCCCAATGTAAAGATACACATGATTGTACTCTAAGGGCACACCTTTGCAAGTGAACGGTAGGGCATACCCTTGCATACCATGATGAAGTTAATTGTCAGACTAACTTCAGCATTAGCCACAATGATTAAGTTCATTATTACAGGAGGAGGTTGTTTGGTTAAGAAATATCAAAATAAAAGATAATTAAGATAAGAAACTGATGCTTCAGACGAAAGGTTTTATATTAAGGATCTTAGGAAAGGGTTATATGTGTACACTACAAAAAAACAGACTTTAGGCGACGATTTTCGATGGCGACAAAAAAAGTCGCCGCTGAAAGTCTTAGTTTCAGCAGCGACTTTTGGTGTCGCTGCTGAAAGTAGACTTTCAGCGGCGACTTTTTTGTCACCGCTGAAAGTTTGCTGCTGAAACTAAGACTTTTAGCGGCGACAAAAGTGTCGCCACTGAAAGTGGACTTTCAGTGGCGACATTTTTTGTCTCCACTGAAATTAGACATTCTGCGGCGACTTTTTTTGTCGCCACTGAAAGTTCGCTGCTGAAACTAAGACTTTCAACGACGACAAAAGTGTCGCCACTGACAGTGGACCTTCAGCGGTGACTTTTTTTGTCGCCGCTGAAAGTGTAATATAATAATATATATTTTATTTTACAATATTAATAAACAAATTCAATCTGGCTCAGTGGCAAGAAGATTGGACACCAAAGGAGGCGGTCACGAGTTCGAACCTTGAAGAAGACACATTTAAGGTTAAAATATTTGAACGATGACGTGGCGAGAAGGAGTGATGTGGCAATGAGGTGGCGGTCGGCGACGATGACGTGGCACCTGTGGTGATGATGTGGCGGTCGGCGACGATGATTTGGCGGCTGACGACGATGACGTGGCGTTGGTGAAGCCAATTCTTCTTAGGCATTACTTTCAGCGGCGACAAATGTCGCCGCCGAAACTTCTAAAAGTCACACTTTCAGCGGCAACTTTTTTAGTCGCCACTGAAAGTTTTCAGCCACAGCTGCTACGGCAACGACTTTTCAGCGACGACTTGTCGCTGCTGAAAACTTTCAGCGGCGACTTTTATAAGTCGCCGCTGAAAGTCAATTTTTTTGTAGTGGTAATAAGGAGAGGAGAAAGTATTAATAGATATAAGGTCCAATTGTTGGAGGTCATCAACTATATATCTTACATAATCACTGGTCTTGTTTTGTTATAATTGAACCAACTTGAAATATCATTTTACACCATATTAAGTCAGTAATGTTTGTTGTGTAGAAATGTTGGAAGATGGCAAAAATCCAGAGATGAAGTTGATATTGATTCACGTGACTTCAGCAATCCTAATGAAGTTGAGAATAAAGAAGGCTGTAGCTGTTGGGAGTGGATGTCAAACTTTTGGCATTCCATTGAGCATGTTTTCCAAACTTGGTGTTAAGGTATATTTCAGACTTTCTAGTTCAACTATATCTACGCCAATCACAAAACCGGTCCAGAAAGCTTTGTTTTTGTCTCCCTTTACTAGCTAGTGTCAATTCTAGGTACGTGTTTTGTTTCTTTCAGTAAGAATTTCTTGTTACTTAAAGTATGAATGAGACCCTCCCTAGAAATGGGGTGATTTGTCCTCCTTTTTTATTCATTTTCCTTTTAACCCTGTAATTTTCATTCAAATAAAAATACATCGTACTCTGATGACATTTATGTCTTCTTGAGTCATAAGCTGAAGAGTGGTGTTGATCAAGTTTTTTGCGTTTGAGAAACTCAAGAAAATAGTACCAGATGATGAAGATTATCTTAATGATACTTCTGCTTCTTGTTACCATATTTTGCCCCGGTCCAATCATGAATCCATGATTGGATCGCAAGACAGTATTGTGCATCAAAGGAAATAATCCATCAACAAATCTTATGTTCCTTCAATATGGTTGCTTAAATCTCAAGTTTACTCAATTATTTTACAAAACCAAAGCAAGAAGTAGGCTTCCAAAACTCATTATTTTGCACGTTTCTATTAGGTTTGTGATTATTAGGCTTATTTAAGTATAAAACAACTTATGATGGTAAATATATACTGCCTCTGTTCCTAAATATTCCTAAATGTGAGACTTATTTTGTAGTTTAATACAAAACATAAAGAAGTTTCATTGGGAAAACTAATCCAACAATACTTGTAGTTTTAATATGATTTTGAATTCCTCCAGTGAGCAGTTAGCAACAAACTCTTCAATTCCCCAACATCTCTCCCTCCACCACTCTTTCAGAATTCAGGAGAGTTGGGCGATACCATCTTGGGGGAGTTTTTGGACTTAATAATGGCTTTGTATAATGGAAACAAGCAAACGTAGATGGTTACTTTCATTGCCTCTGTTTTTTGCACAAAATAAAAAAGAGGTAAAGAATAATATGGCAGCAGCAAATAATTTCTTATATGGCATATTCTTTATCGAGTTGATTATTAATTCTTCAGTAAGCTGTGGGAGGGGGAGGAATCTTGACTGTAAGAACTAACGGTGCAAATGGTGATTTATGAGCCTTTAAAATGTAAGGGCCGCACTAAAAAAAGAGATAAATTATAAGCACTTTCAAATTAATTTTTTACTCTATCATTTATTATAAGGTTCAAGTAATCGAATTGCATGACTTAATAAAACTATTAAGAAAGTCAAAAGCAGGAAATATATTTTTTATTTCAAATATATCCTTGCTTAAAAGTGGCTAGGTGAGACTTAGAGAGAGAGAGAGAGAGAGTGTTTTGGGAAAAAAATAATGAGTATATTAATAAAGGCAAAATGGTAAAAATATATTTAATATTTAAAAGGGTATTTCGTAACAAGAAATGAATCAATGCAAGGATTTGAATATTATAATAAGGGGTGGATGTAGTATAATTCACTCGCACACTCTAAATATTTCAAATTACTCCAAAGCCCAAATAGTCTGTTTGTTGGCCATTTTCTCATCCTTTGTATTAGTCTCCACATGGCTTTTCTGATCCATATGATTATTGGGCCTTTTCGGTGATAGTGAACCACAATGAGCTTCAAGATTCAGTACAACTCTGCTTAGAGATGGCAAACTGTCTTCGTAAAATATTTGTGAGTTTTGGTCCTTTTGGAATCCTTTGGAGTTTCTTCTCATTCTCAAAGGGAAAAACGACCTACATCTTCCAAAGATTTGCAGCCTCACAAGAAAAATACTACCTCCAGTCTTTAATATAGTAGCTAAAAACTAATTTGCAAATATCAAGAAAATTAGTTTAGCTAATTATTTATAGTAAATATGTGTTATCTTTCCTAAAATATTATTAGTAATAATGTGTATTGAAACAATTATTGTAATAATCATATATATTACTTTGTGGCAAAATAGATAAACATGAGAAAAAAAGTGAATTGGAATCTTATATCTATGACTAAAATGAATATCCAACTTGTTCTTATATTAAAAACAAAAGGTTGTATATAGTTTATGAGTTCAAGGGATTTTCCTATCTAGTAAAGTTAGTAATTAGAAATTAGACTCTTGAAGAGGGTACGTTGTCACGAGTCTTTCATAAGTGAGTTCTCCCAGCTCATAGGATAATTTGTTGGAATTGAATTTTTTATTTTAGCTGGCACTTTGTTCCTCTTTCTTTGAATGTGAATCCGAGGAATAAATTGGAAATTAAGAGAGGAATGCTCTGGTCTTCGCCTTCTTCCATTGGATTCCAAAGCGAAGCAACGTATAGTAGGGGACTCGTAAGTCGTGCAGCCTAGAACACGATGATAAAATAAAAGCAAGTCTTTCCAAAGTCTTTTTGGGGTTTTTCTCAAGCGAAGCAACGTATAGTAGGGAGTCATGAGTCGTGCAGCCTAGAACACGATGATAAAATAAAAGCAAGTCTTTCCAAAGTCTTTTTGGGGTTTTTCTCACATATACATACTTATAAAAGGTAAAATCGAATCTAACAAAGCATTGAGGTAGGGTCACATGGTTCTATCCTTCAGCAAAGTGGAAGACAGTAGTTCCGTCCGTAACACGGTTTGAAACTTAAACGCGCAAAGACTGAAGAAAAGAGAAGACTTGAGCTCACTCCCACCATTTTTATTTCTCATTTTTACTCCATTTTTCTTTCTATAAAATTTGCTGGATCGGGGTGTTTGGTTTAGTTTTTCAAAAGTAATTCTATACAGTGTTTGAGATAAGTATATGAGAGGAGTTTTGTTTTGATTTACATGAAAGTACTTTTTTTAAGTGCTTCTAAGGTATTTCAAATGCTGGCCATAGCCACATGCGTAATGATAGAAAATGATTTCGCAGGGTGGGATGCAATTTGATGGATTTCCTAATGAAAAATTCTCTTGCATAGGATTGGTGAGAGTGCTCTTTAATATTTTGCCCAAATCAGGCATTGATCTTCTCATACTTCAGAGAACTAGGTGAATGAGATTGAGTTTCCATCTTCCTCTTAAATCTGAAAATAAATTTAAAACTTATAATAAGAACTCGAGAGAGTAACTTAAGTTTTTTTCAAATTTTTGTTGATACAAAAAAGCTTAGGTGAGTTGGATCACGAGGATTTATTAGGGTTAATACATGCTTTCAGATTCAAAGAGTGCTTATAGAGATATTTACAGATCACCCATCAACAAGATTTTTATATTAGTAGTGAGATTCGAACTCATGACCTTATAAGTTAGGAGTCAACTCGTCACTAAATAGACCAACCACTACAAAAAAAAAACAACTAATTAGCGACGAAAAAAAATTCTGTCGCTAATTTGCGATGGAAACAAATTCCGTCACTAATTTTTGACGGAATTGTGATGGAAATTCCATCGCTAATCCGTCATTAATTCTGTCACTAAATAAAAAATTCCGTCATTAAAAACATTTTTTTGTAGTGAACTCTTGTTAGTTAGTTTTTTATAGAATTGAACTCTCAAAGAAAAATGTTGTTACAAGTCACACACTTGGGAGTTATCTCACCTAATATATTAGTCTTTTAGAATTAAACTCCGCCTTGAAAATTATGATAGGTTCCTCCGTCTTTGAATGTGAATCCGGGGAATATCCTGGAAATTGAGAGAGGGATGCTTTGGTTTCCGCTCGCTCTGTCTTATGACAAAAAAGTAAGAAGGAAAACCCATTGAAACACTGACACAGGGTCACATGGTTCTGTCCTTCAGCAAAAGGGAACAGTGTGGTCCCGTCCGTAACACGGTTTCAAATTTGAACTCCCAAAGACCGAAGAGAGGACAAAGACTTGAGCTCATTCCCTCCACTTTCCTTCTCACTGTTTCTCCATTTTTCTTTCTATAAAATTTGTACCAGGCTGCTGGGCTTCATCTTATATCAGGTCGGTCGGAATCGAACAAATCTTTCGATATTATTTCCTCTTCCAGGTTTCCACTTTCTCCCTCTCTCCTTTCTACATTTATGATCACCGAAATGACCTGTTTAGATCTGTGAAATTTTGCTTTGAAATTATGCGTGAAGAGTGAATGAATCTTGCGTTAAGAAGAACCTTGTCTGTTGATGTTTCTATTATATCTTGTTTTCTTCAGTGAAATGGATTGTTTCTGTTATAGATCTTCGAGCATTTTGTGATTTTGAATTTTTACTTTATTTGTTTTAATATGCCCAATGCCTATCTCAAGGCTTTGCATTGGACTGATTGCTGCATTCTTCGTTGAAGCTCCTATTATACATGTACTATTCTTTCTGTTTTTGTGTTTTTACTTTTGTTTGTGTTCAGATTCCAAATCCTTGCGATGGCGCGTGATGCTGATGGAGTTGGGTGTTCTTCAAGCTCTTCTGGTTCAACTAAGAGAAGGAAGTATGATGTGTTTTTGAGCTTTCGAGGGGAAGATACTCGGAAAAATTTTACTGATCATTTGTATGCTGCTTTAAAACGTAAAGGATTAAAAACTTTCCGGGACGAAGAAGAACTTGAAAGGGGAGAATCTATTAATCCAAGTTTAGTACAAGCAATTGAAGAATCTCGTTCTACAATTATTGTGTTCTCCCCAAATTATGCTTCTTCAACTTGGTGTTTGAATGAGCTTCAAAAGATCCTGCAATTAAAGGAAGAGACAAGTCTTCAAGTATTTCCGATATTTTACGGTGTAAATCCTTCTGATGTTAGGAAACAAAAGGGAAGTTTTGCAGATGCCTTCATAAGGCATGAAGAAAGATTTGCCGAAGACAAAATAAAGGTGCAAAAGTGGAGAGATGCTTTACAAAAAGTTGCTTCTTTATCTGGTTGGGACTCCAAAGATCAGTAATTTTCACTTCTCTCAATACTTATCATCTCTCTTTTTTGATTGAAAAATAAGGACGTAGATATTCAAGTATACTCTAAATTATTGTTTCATCGAGGTTTTTTCTTATGGCAAACCGCATCTCGTATTGAGGAGATTGTGGGATCTATTCCCTAAAGGATAGGGGTCTCTTGTGTCGGGCGAGTGAGTAGGTCCCTCCCTAAAATGGGCAGGACGTGGAGGTGGATTGTTTGGAGCTTTAACTGATAAATATTATAAATGCCATTTGCTTAAAATTAGAATACCTTAATCCATTTTATTTTAATTACACTTGCTTTTTTACCTATTTGAAAACATAGTTAATTTTGTAAAGAATAATTTAAAAAGATATTTTTTAATTAAAATTTGTACTAAAATAATATTTATTTACTACTTTATCCTTCATCATACTAAATTCCTAATTTTGGATAAAAATTATTTTGAAGAATTTAAATGTTTTCTCTTTCTTTCTCTTAATTATCTCTTGCAAATAAATATTTTTCTAATGTTTTTATCAGATTGGGATAAAAGCTTAAGTAATTTAATTATTATGGATATTAAAAAGTTTATTAAGAATTTCAATAATTCCTTTAATAAATGTACACTTCACTAAATGTTTTTATAGATTCACTCTAAAAAATGCGTTTATAAATGTTTATTACAAAAATAGTCTAAAAATTTTAAATTACGAATTTAAGTTATTAATATAATCTCTCAAACTCAAATTATTTATTATATGTATTATGAATAAAATAAGCTTTTGAAATATGATCTTAGACATTTAAAAAAAATCTAAACATATATATCAATACATGTAATGAAAAAAAAAATTATACAATTTCATTATATAATCAAAATTAATAATTAATTAACCTGATGACATATTAGAATGTTTGAAAACATATGCAGTAGAATGATTTCCCATTATAAAAAATTATGTTTTTGACAAATATAAATATTTAAATAATTTTTATGCTAAATAAAGATATTTTGTTCAAAGCAAAGGCTTAAAAGTTAAATTTAACCATCAACTAAATAACTATTAGATAGATAAAAATAAAATCTCAAATATAGAAGAGAGATTTGTGTAAGATATATTGCAATTTGAAAGGAGGCTTAGGTATGTTTTTAAAAAATATGCTATATTTCTTTAATTAAGATAAAACAGAAAGGTGATTAGTAATTGGAGAAACTAATACAATAGTTCTTATAGTTTTGTCTGATTTTGAGTTAGGTCCTAGTTTTTTTTTCTTTTTATGAAATTTTTATAATTTATTATATTAAATGGGCAAGTCTTTCTGTTAAAAATACTCTCAACGCTGTTAATGCTGCGTGACATGACATTAAAAAGGCTTGCTTTCTCTTTCTTTCCAATGCCAATAATGAGCTTTTTCTTTCTCTTTGTTCCACGTAGAAGCTTGTGGCCATCTCTCTCTCTCTCATTAATCAAAGGCCAACCACACCAGTCGATAAGGAGAAGAAAAGCTCTTTCTTAAACTATATTCACACATTCGAAGTCAGCTCATTGAAAAAGTTGAAAACATCTCCATATTTGGCATTTCACTGCTCGGCTTCACATCGACGTGGTTAAGATGCTTCTAATATCATTGAGGTGTATGAATTTGTTTACATATATATCCCCAATGGCATAGAAGCAGTGCATTGATGCTAATGGAGGGGTGAATACAATTTAGGCCTTTCTTATCCTTGTCGGCGTGAGACTGGTGTGGTTGGCCCTTGAGGGATGCGAGAGAGAGAGAGAGAGAGAGAGAGAGAGCCGCAAGCTTTTACTAGAAGAGAAAGCAAGTCCATGCAGCCTTTTCAATGCCATGTCACCACAACATTAACCGCCTTGGGAGCATTGTTAACAGCAGAACTTGTTCATTTAATGTAATGAATTACTCTTCTAGTCCTATTTATAGGAGAGAGAGAAAATATTTTTTAGTTTTGTTTATAGGGTATTGAGAAATTTTTTTTGTATAGATATTCAATGTTATCCTTCATTTATTATTGTGTTAACTTTATTTACATGATGTATAATATATATTAAATAGGGATAAAGTTAGAAAGTTATTTAATTTTAAATGAGAGTTAATGAAATTTAAAGTTTTTCTTAGTCTGTGTAAAACATATTAGAAGTATCTTAGAAATAGGATCAAAGGAGTACAAAAGTTCCATAAAAAGGGGAAAAAAAACTAGAAAGACCTGATTTAAAATCAGATAAAACTATAAGTAGTGCTAAATTATATTTTCCTTAGTATTTCACCCATTTTATTTCATTATAGACTTGTATTTTTAGTTGTTGGTAAAATAGACTTGCAACCTAGGCTGTAGGTGATCTAGGTTTTCCAACTGAATTCAATTAATGATAGAATCCTGAAATGGTCATTTTCTTGAATATATATTAGTAAAATTAGATAATAATAATTATTATGTAATTCAACAATTAAAAACTTAATATGAATAATTTATAATTTCTCTAAATTTTGAAATTTCATTGTTTATTAATAAATAATTAATAGTTGTTATTATTTTTTGATAGTTGAAGACGTTACCGTACAGCATTAGATTTTAACTCTTGTGAAATGTTGCTTGAATAAAATTAAGAAAAACTATTCAAATAATAAAATGTATTGCCAAAAAAAAAAAAGGAAACTCAACCTATAATGTATTAATTAAGTGACTTCAATATCTAGGAGTTATACTAAAGTGTATGGACACACACACACATAATCATGTATATCTGCAAATAATTATCTCCTATCCTCACTAAGTCAAACTAAGGTTCACGGAAAACTTAAGATTGCTACATTTGTGGTCATGTTTATCTTTATATCTCATTTTAAGTATTTTTTTTTATTGTTTATGCAAGAACTTTAAAATTCAATTGACTTAAAACCATCACGCTATTTTCATGTCCAAAAAAAATCATTTTATAATTTTATTTTCATATACAGGTATGAAAGCGAATTCATTGAAAACATTGCTGAAAAAATGGAGTCAAAGTTACGTGATAAATCAGCATCTGGTCATGGCAAATTAATTGGAATTGAGCCAAAATTAGATGAATTGAAGTCAATGGTAGCAAGGGAATCAAAAGGAGTTGAGTTTATAGGAATATGGGGCACAGGCGGCGTGGGCAAAACAACTCTTGCTAGAGCCTTTTATGAGCAAGAGCGGCAGCGCAAAAACTTTGAGACTCACTGCTTCCTTGATAATATTAGAGAGGCATGGGAAAAAGAAGGTTTGATTTCATTGCTAAGAAAACTTCTTTCGTCTCTAGAAAAAAAGAGTATGGAAGTGGCTGATTCTTATGAAGGAATGGAGTTAATAAAGAGAAAGTTGACTGACAGAAAAATTCTACTTGTCCTTGATGATGTGAGTGATCCTAGCCAACTTGAAAATTTGGCTCCAAAGCAAGGATGGTTCAGCGAAGGGAGCATAATAATAATAACAACTAGGGATAAGCATTTGTTATCATCACACGGTGTATCTGCTGTGTATGAATTCAAATTATTGAGCGATAAAGAGTCTCTTGAACTTTTCCTTGAAAAAGCTTTTAAAGAAGAGCATCCTAATGAAGGTTATTTGAAACTTGCTAGAACCGTCATTGAGTATGCTAGAGGCCTTCCTTTAGTGCTCACAGTGTTAGGTTCATCTCTTTGCAAAAGACCTATAGAGGAATGGAAGGATGAACTAGCTAAGCTCAAGAAAATTCCTCCAAAGGACATTTTGAAGATACTTCGGGTGAGTTTTGATGGACTGGATGATCAGCAGAAAACCATATTCTTGGATGTTGCTTGCTTTTTCAATGGGATGGACAAAGATCATGTCATACAAATTTTAGAAACTTTGGATAAGGGTATTCGCCCAGAAACTGAGATAAATGTTCTCATTAAGAAATCACTAATAATTAGTTATGAAGGGCATTTGTGGGTGCATGAAATTCTCCGAGATATGTGTAAATATATTATCTATCAAGAATCACCTTATGATGCCGGCAAGCGTTCCCGGATATTGTCTTTGGAGGATGCCAATCACGTACTAAAAGGAAATAAGGTGACATTATTCCAACGTTCTTTTGTTTATGTGCTTTTTAATGTCAATATATTCCATAACTTTCACATACATTTTGACCTTGGCTTGTTGTTTTACAGGGGACAGAAGCAATTCGAGGAATAGCGCTAACATTGGAAAAGTCATGTGATGCATTCTGGGATCCTGAATCCTTCTCAAAGATGAGTAATCTTAGGTTACTTACGATTTCAAGTCCCTCACATGTTTCACATTGCCAATTAAATCTTCTGCATGGGCTCAAATCCCTTTCTAGTGACTTGAGAGTCATAGAATGGGTGAGGTATCCATTATTTTATTTGCCCAATCAGCCTCAACTCTATGAGCTTGTAGTACTAAAAATGCAGCACAGCAAATTAAAAAAACTTTGGAGAAGAACACAGGTAATTACGATCCTTTCATTTAAATTCTTTCTCCATAACTTAATAAATTATAATTATAATTAATGTTTAGTTTTGAGGACTGTTTTCAATTTTTCTATTGTTAGTCTCTCCCAAGCCTGAAGTCCCTCGATCTATCTCATTCAAAATGCCTCATCGAAGTCCCAAATTTTGATGGAATTCCTCATCTTGAAAAGTTGATTCTTGAAGGGTGTTCTAACTTGGTTGAAATTCACCCCTCTCTTGGGCAACACAAGAAACTTGTCACTGTTGACTTGAAAGATTGCAAAGAAGTTAAAACCCTTCCAGAAAAATTTGAGATGAATGGCTTGGAGACTTTTATTCTATCGGGTTGTTCAAAAGTTAGAAAACTTCCTGTGTTTGGAAAAGATATGACACGTCTATCTAAGCTTGATTTAGAGAAGACTGCTATAGCCAAACTACCTCAATCGTTGGGCAATTTGATTGGTCTTGTTAAATTAAATTTGACGAACTGCAAAAAGCTGGTCTGTCTTCCATGTAGTGTTAGTAAGTTGAAAGCTCTGAAAGTTATCAAAATGTCTCAATGCTCAAAGTTTTCAAGGCTGCCAGAGAACTTGAATGAAAATGAAGCTTTGGAAAAGCTGGATTTGAGTCTCATTGCTATACAAGGGTTATCATTTAGTGACTACAACGGTGAAGCACAATCTTCATCATCGTGGAGTTGCTTATCCCTTCTTCAAAGGCCTTCAAGCTCCAACAAGTTTTTGTTGCCGCCGTCTTTGTCATTCTTGAAAGAATTAGACTTAAGGTTTTGCGGTCTCCATGATGGATCACTTCCTGATGACATCAGCAGGTTATCATCATTGGAAATTTTAAATCTAAGTCAAAACAATTTCATTGACTTACCATCTGGCCTCATTTCCAATCTCTCGAAGCTTAAATGTATTGGTCTCTTTTATTGTCCAAGGCTTCGGTCTTTGCCGCAACTTCCGTCAAATCTATCACTTGTGTGGGCTGATTGTTCTTCATCAATGAAACATTACGGATGTGCACATCAATTATGGGATTTTATTGAATCATTTCAACCTCAGGTTTATTTTATTTGTCTTTACTTGTTCTTTCACCTCAATCATCTTACTTCTTTAACATGGAAAATTGTTTCTTATAGGTTCACAACCATTTAAATTTGGAGTCAGCATTTATAACAGGGTATTCAGAAACTGTGAGTTTTTAGAATTACTTATTGTTTTTCTTAATTTCTTTGACAGTAAATATCTAGTTTATTTTACTTGTACATATATATTACCATTTTTTACGTGTGAATCAACATACTTCTCATACAAGCAATATGTGTTTTTTTTTTGGTTCCAGTTTTATTACCTCAGGCATTGTACTCGCCTATTAACAATTCTAGGTAGCGAAGTTCCATCATGGTTTTATAATCAAAACTACTTTTGTGAGAAAGAATTCCGGTGGTGTCCAAATGTGTCGTTCATGATAAATATATCCCCTGATTATTGTGGTTCACGTGAATGGTGGGGCATAGCCATATGCTTAGTCATAGAACACGATCTCACATTTGGAGAGGGGTGGGATGAAATTTGGTGGAGCTGCAGATTTCGTAATGATGAATCTCCAAACTGGTATTACGCACATGATTCTTCTTTCCATACGGTCTGGACTCCTAGGCTTTTTGTGAGATATATTCCTTGTTCCTCTTTGGTTGTCAACGGACTTCAAATGGTATTTTTCTCTAAGAATGCAACGGAAAATAAGTCACCAAGGATGAAAATAAGCAAGTGTGGGTGGCGATTGGTGTGTAAAGAAGATGTTGAAGCTTGGCGAAGAACAAGGGACGAAGGCTGTAGTATCATCAATAACTACATGAAGATTGATCCAGACATCAACAATGGAGGTTATAGTCCCTCGCCGAGACGTGATGATATTATTGTAGAAGCAGATGGCGCCTATTCTCAGTTAGATGACAAAGCAGCTTGTGGAGGCATTCTTAAAGATGGCCACAATTGTATGAAGGAGGCGTTTCTTCTGAAATTAAGTGGTGGAGATACCCTCACAGCCAAACTATGGGGTTGCTTGATGGGTCTCAAAAGAGCTTGGGACGCTGGTATTGGAGATGTTATCTTGAGAAGCGACTCCGCTGAGGCTGTTCGATTGATCAAATTTGAAGTCCCTGAGACGCACAAGGATATTGCTCTCATCATGGAAATCAAAGGGATGCTAGAGTGGGATTGGTTTGTGGATATCCAGGTCTTTCACAGGGACGGCAATGGCATTGCTTATTTACTTGCTAAAAGAGCACTTAATGGAGCAATGGGTCTGCAAATACTGGGCCCCAGGACAATGATGAAAATATTACAGGCCACTGATGTTATACAACCTGAAGTTGAGAAAGATGGAGGTTATACTCAATGCTCCAGACATCATGGTCAGTTCGTTGTTGAAGAAGATGAGTCTATACTTCCAAGGTACGTAGATCAACCCTTCTGGTTTTAGATTAAAATTTATATTTTATATTAATGCATGCTTGATGGATATTTAAAATTTTCCTGGATACATTAATTTAATATAATCTATAAAGAAGGTTTTTACGTCATTTGTATGTATTAAGGACTATAGAAAAGGATTTAGGGGGAAGTGTTAAGATATATACGATCCAATGGCCATAGGTCAACTATCTATTATGCATATTATCCGGTCTTGTTTTGTTGTAAGCAAGTGCGAATGGCCTGTGTTGTGTAGAAATGTTCAAAGATGGCAAAAATCCTGTAATGGCCATAAAAGTAATGTAAAATACAGCCTCCTATTCTTAATCTAATAGTTAGTTAGAGATTGAATTTTGTCCTAAATTCATTTTGTCTCTTAAATTTATTATTTTTCCTCCCCTAAAAGATCCCTATTGGTCATAAGGCATCGTTTCCTTCAAAGGATAGTTCTAGTGGACATGATTAAAAAGAGTAATTTAGAAAAGTTAACACATATTTGTTACAATTAACCAACTTAACTAATTTTTTTAATCTCTTTAAATTAGTTATCTAGCTCTCATATTAAAAATCAGAGGTATTAATTATTTAATATTTTGATTATGCGTTGTAAATTTTTAATAAGGTCAATTGGCAGTCTAGGACAAACGTTTTTATGGTTTGCTGTGAATCCTACCGATGCATGAGAGAAGCTTTTATCATTTTGTGCGTGTATATAAATGTTTTCATGATAATTTTCTCGGCTTGTTACGTTGAAGGGAGAGGAGAAAAAGAGAGAAGCAACCTATGGAGAATTAGAAAAAGGGCATCTCAGCCGCACTTCCTGTCAACCTCCATCCTCCTTATATTCAGTGCCGGTGTGGTTGCGCCGTTGTCCGTCCGCCGTCGGCCTCTTCTTTGCTTACTATTCTTGAGAAATCATCGTCATTTTTGTCCTCCCGCAGTTGCCGTCCGTCACCTTGATGGTGTGAGGTGAGCAGTTCGCCCTCTGTGTGTGCTCCTCTGTTCCTCCACATCTCTGTTTTGCTCATTAGGTGTGCCCTCTGTTCTCCTACAAATGCCATATTAAGAATTCCTCGTTTTTTTAAATTTTCAGGGGAGAATTACTATGAAATTCTAAGTAAGGAATATAATCATTAAAGTCCTAGTAATAATATGAGCAGCTTGCAATGACATATAGTAAATGATAATTACTTATTTATCATTAAGACTAACTGATAATTATTTTTTCTTTGAGATTTTATTGTAATTCTTCCTTCTTTTTAATTTTGCGATTTTCTTTCAAATAAAAATGCATCGCATCCACTAGTGACATTTATATCTTCTTGAGTCATAATCTGAGGAGTGACGTTGATCAAAATTTGGATGTCAGTTTACGAAAAAGGAAACAGTACGATATGATCAAGATCGTAATTACTATTTCCCCTAGTCCAATCATGATTCGATGGCAAAGCCTTATTGCGCATCAAGGGAAATAATCCATCAATAAATTTTACATTATTCCTTCAACATGGATGCTTAAATCTCTCAAGTTTACGGAATATGATCATTTCGCAAACTCAAAACAAGAAGCAGAGTTTCAAAACTCTTGTTATTTTGCACATAATGTCTCTAATAAATTTGTGATTATTAGGCTTATTTAAGTTAAAAAAAGAAAAAGAAAACTTAGGATGGAAAATATGCATGCCTGGCTGCTATACATAACTCTATGCAAAAGTTGATACTGTAGATGACTAATTTCTGCATAATTTTTTTATTCTGAGTAGAGAGGTTTCAAATAGCAAAAGTATAATTATATGAAAATATATAATAAATTTAATATAATTTCCACACAAAGCTACTCTGCACCATTTTTTGCCAACAAAATATCTTTTTTTGCTTGAATCAGAGTGATCACTTTCACAACAAATTAAGGTTAATGACTCAAAATTTGATGTTTTAAATATAATTTCCACAACACAAAGGCTAGATATTATTAGAGGGTGCAATGATTTTAGCTTGAAGCGTGTCTTTAATAATGATTGATGTGGTGCTTTGTCTTCAAAACCGCAGCTACATGAAGCTGCCATATAAAACGCTCTCATAAGTTTTAAAAAGAAAAAAATAAATAAAAGGATCAATTATGCTTTAAACAACACAGGGAGTCAGAAACAAGGACACAAACATAAAAGGCAATATTGCTTCATACATCAAGCCCAATACCACCGTAGAAAAAAACCTGATGAACAACAAACACCCGCTAAAGAACAGAGTAAAAGTGTTAAAAAAAAATTTTCATTCATTTAATCTGATATAGGTTCTAAGCTAAATCAGGCTCTTGCATGCGAACCTGTTCAATATCTAAGACACAAAGGAAAACTAACCACAATCATCCCAATAATGTTGTCTTAAAAATTTTCTAATCCTAGAGTCCCTATGTACACTGTTTAGCTTGTTAAAGCCCTCAAGCCTCTCTCCCTCCTCCAGTCTTTCAGAACAGTTGGGTGATACCTTCTTGGAGGAGTTTTTGGGCTTAACAATGGCTTTGTATAATGGAAACAAACAAAAGTAGATGGTTACTTTGTTTGCCCCTGTTTTTTTCACCAAAAAAAAAAAGAGGCAAAGAATAATATGGCGAAAGGAAATAATTTCTCATATAACATATATTCTCTATTCAGTTGAATGTTAACACTCCAGTAACCCGTGACAGGAGGAGGAGGAGGAGGAATCTTGATTGTAAGGACCAACGGTGCAAATGGTGATTTATAAGCTTTTAAATTAGTTTTTCTTTGGCCGAACAATGTAAGAACCGCACTGAAAAAAGAGATAAACTACAAAGACTTTTAAATTAGTTTTTTTTCCAAAAAGTATTGCATAACTTAAAAAAACTATTAAAATTAATTAAAAGTAAGAGATATACTTTTTATTTTAAAAATATCTTTATTTGTAAGTAGTGAGAGTAGGGGGAAAATGATGAGAGAGAATGTATGAAAAAAATAATGAAAGAGCACATTAACGAAGGGTGAAATGGTAAAAATATATTTAGTATTCAGACAAATCTAAAAGATATTTTATAAAAAAAAATGAACCAATGCAAAATTTAAATCTTACAGTAAAAAATGGATGGAGTATAGCGTACTCGCATCCTCTAAATATTTCTCATTACTCCAAAGCCCAAAGTGCAGTCTGTTTATTGGCCATTGTCTCATCGTTTGTGTTAGTCTCTAAATGGCTTTTTTGATCCATTTGATTATTGGGCTTTTATATTCAGTATGGCGCTGTAAAGGGACAGAGGAAAATGTGTTTAGTTGATTCACTTTCTAGTTTCTACTACTTCCACTTTCAGTTTCCTTTGCCCGAGACTTCTCATTGCCTTGTCCAAAGCCTCCAGAATGATGCTACGATTTGCCTCCCATGCCATTAAATAAAAGGACCCAAAAAATAAAAAAAGGAAAAAAAGGTTAATCTTTCAACTCCGCATTTACCTGGCATGCCAACTTGGCAATAATAACCAAAATGAGCCGATTGTTTGAGCGGATTAAAAAAATTTCACTGCTTCGCTTTTATTTTTTAGAGATGACAGACTGTCTTTGTAAAATATTTGAGAGTTTTGGAATAGTTTAGAGTTTCTTCTCATTGTCAAAGGGAAAAACCACATACATCTTCCAAAGACTAGTTTCTCTATCTTATTTCCTTACCCAAAACTGGGGGCCACAAGTTTGCAGCCTCACAAAGAAAATACTACTACCGGTTTTTAAGATAGAAGCTAGAAAACTAATTTGTGAATATTAACTAAATTAGTTTAGTTAGCTATTTGTAGTAAATATATGTTATCTTTTCTAAAATATCCTTAGTAATTATGTGTATTGAAACAATTATTGTAATCATCATAGAGATTACTTGGAGACAAAATAGATAAATATGAAAAATAAAGTAAATTAAAGTTTTATATTTAGAACTAAATTGAATTTTCAATTAGTTTTTATATTAAGAACATGAGATACTTAATGGTTTATAAGTTATAAGAGGTTTTTTTATCCAATAAAGCTAGGGTTTAGAAATTAAACTTTTGAAGAGGGTGTATTGTTATGAGTCTTATATAGGTGAATTCTCTCACCGCATAGGCTAATTTGTTGGGATTGAACCTTTTTTTTTTGAAGCTTGCGTTTTGTTCCTCTTTCTTTGAATGTGAACCCGAGGAGTAAATTGGAAATTAAGAGAGGAATGCTCTGGTCTTCGCTTCTTCCGTTGGATTCCAAAACAAAGCAACGTATATTAGGGGACTCATAAGTCGTGCAGCCTAAAACACGATGATAAAATAAAAGCAAGTCTTTCCAAAGTCTTTTTGGGCTTTTTCTCACATATACATACTTGTAAAATCGAAGCTAATAAAGCACAGAGGTAGGGTCACATGGTTCTGTCCCTCGGCAAATTAAAATGGAAAGCAGTAGTTCCGTCCGTAACGCGGTTTGAAATTTGAACGCGCAAAGACTGAAGAAAAGAGAAGACTTGAGCCCATTCCCACCACTTTCCTTGTTACTGTTTCTCCATTTTTCTTTCTATAAAATTTGTACCAGGCTGCTGGGCTTCATCTTATATCAGGTCGGTCGGAATCGAACAAATCTTTCGATATTATTTCCTCTTCCAGGTTTCCACTTTCTCCCTCTCTCCTTTCTACATTTATGATCACCGAAATGACCTGTTTAGATCTGTGAAATTTTGCTTTGAAATTATGCGTGAAGAGTGAATGAATCTTGCGTTAAGAAGAACCTTGTCTGTTGATGTTTCTATTATATCTTGTTTTCTTCAGTGAAATGGATTGTTTCTGTTATAGATCTTCGAGCATTTTGTGATTTTGAATTTTTACTTTATTTGTTTTAATATGCCCAATGCCTATCTCAAGGCTTTGCATTGGACTGATTGCTGCACTCTTTGTTGAAGTCCCTATTATATATGTACTCTCTCGATCCTTAATATAAGATTCATTTAACTAATTTGATTAGATTAAAGAAATTAGGTAAGTTAGTTAATTATAAGAAATGTGACACTTTTTTTTTTAAAATATTGTAATCATCTTTCTTAATACTCCCTCTTCTTCTTTTACTTGATTATAGCTGAGGGAGTATCCATAGAGGTAATTTAGAGAAAATTGACAAATATGAAAAATGGGTCTTATATTTAGAACCAAAACCAACTCAACAATTGGATCCTACATTAAGGACCGGAAGAGTATTATTCTTTCCTTGTTTTTTTTTGGGCCTTTATATATATGTTATCCTTTCAATTTCTTGTGTTTTTACTTTTGTTTGGGTTTAGATTCCAAGCCCTTGCGATGGCGCGTGATGTTGACGGAGTTGACTATTCTTCAAGCTCTTCTGGTTCAACTAAGAGATGGAAGTATCATGTGTTTTTGAGCTTTCGAGGGGAAGATACTCGGAAAAATTTTACTGATCATTTATATGCTGCTTTAAAACGCAAAGGATTAAGAACTTTCCGGGATGAGGAAGAACTTGAAAGGGGAGAATCTATTAATCCAAGTTTAGTACAAGCAACTGAAAAATCTCGTTCTGTAATTATTGTGTTCTCCCCAAATTATGCTTCTTCAACTTGGTGTTTGGATGAGCTTCAAAAGATCCTGCAGTTAAAGGAAGAGACAAGTCTTCAAGTATTTCCGATACTTTACGGTGTAAATCCTTCTGATGTTAGGAAACAAAAGGGAAGTTTTGCAGATGCCTTCATAAGGCATGAAGAAAGATTTGCCGAAGACAAAATAAAGGTGCAAAAGTGGAGAGATGCTTTACAAAAAGTTGCTTCTTTATCTGGTTGGGACTCCAAAGATCGGTAATTTTCACTTTTCTCAATACTTATCATCTCTCTTTTTTGGTTGAAAAATAAGGACGTAGATATTCAAGTATACTCTAAATTATTGTTTCATCGAGGTTTTTTCTTATGGCAAACCGCATCTCGTATTGAGGAGATTGTGGGATCTATTCCCTAAAGGATAGGGGTCTCTTGTGTCAGGCGAGTGAGTAGGTCCCTCCCTAAAATGGGCAGGAGGTGGAGGTGGATTGTTTGGAGCTTTAACTGATAAAGGATAGAGGAGATTGTGGGATCTATTCCCTAAAGGATAGAGGGTTTTTTTTTGACTGCGGCCCTGTAGATACGAATCCTCTTGGCATCCTCTTTCACCTTTTCTTCTCCGATCCTTCCCAACCCCCCCCCAAAAAAAAACCCTCTACATTTAAATAATGGATAGTTTGGATGTAATATTTTATAAAATTATTATTAAAATATTTTATAAACTAAATTTTTTTGGACTATAGGTATAAATTGCCAAAATAAATCTTAATAGTTAAATTTATTTATTTACATTTTAATAATATTATATAAAATATTATATCTAAACCATTTATTTTTCATTTAATGGTGAAGAAGAGATTGTTAGAGTATCCAAATCCATAACTCTATTCCTTCAATATCTACTCCATTCACTTTTCCCTCTAAATTTAATTAAGGGGGCAAAAAAATATTCATTTTGAAAAATCAAATTATATCCTTATTAATTTATAGGGAATAAATAGAACAAAGAAAAAATGGAAGGAGTAGATATTCAAAATCCTTTCTCCATCCTTAGATGGAAAATGAATAGTTCAGATACAATATCTGATACAATATTATAGAAATATAAACAAATAAATTCAAACTATTAAAATTTATTCTGCTCAATTTATACTATAATCCAAGAAAATTTAGTTTATAAAATATTTTAATAATAATGTTATAAAATATTACATCCAAACCATCTATCGCTTTAATGTAAGGGAAGAGAAACGATCAAAGAAGAAAAGGTGCAGGAAGACGCTAGGAGGATTCACGTCTGTGGGGCCATTAATAGTAATTCACTCCGAAACGCAAAAGGAGAGAGAAAAGTGGTGAAGAAGTTGTTGATTGGCGTCTAATCGTAATTTTCACTAAAGACAAAAGGAATAAACGATTTCATTGTTTTTTCCCCCCAAAAAGAAGAAAAGGAACTATTTCATTGTTTTTTTTTTCCAAAAAGAAGAAAAGGAACGATTTCATTGTTTTTTCCCCACAAAATGTCAAGAGTTGAAAGCTGTCCGAGTGTGAACAAGTTCGTCACAGAGTGGAACTCGTTCTTTATGTGAATGATTTGTAACATAATATTTGTGTGAATTCTTTTTAATATGTAGTATTTTGGTTTTTTTTATTGTTTCCATTATTTTGATAACAACGCCACTTTTGAAATTATCCGGAACTTTAAATCTGAGATTTATTTTCTGTCTAAAGTTTTTTGTTTCACAGAGCAAACTACTAGCTCTGAGGACTAAGTCATGTGCAGTCATGTGCTGTCATATATTTAGCCTGATCTATCGGATTAGGCATTAAACTAAAACGGTTTTATCTTGCATAGCGCTTACCTTAGTTTAATTTGGTGCATGAATGACAGTGCATATCATTTTCCCAGGTATATACTATTTTTGGTCTTCTGTAAACGTATTTCCAAACACCTTATACCAGAACTAATTAAGAATGATAGATAAATCATTATATTTGTTTTAAAATAAAAAATTATAAATTTAATCAGATTTAAAATCATGAATTATATCTTGGATTAACTCGTACTTGCTGGTTTAGAATTCTTGATGAAGCTATTAGTCTGAACTCAGTGGTGAAATAATGAAGAGCATCCGTATTATTGGATTTTTGAAGAGGCAGGAAGAATTCTATATATGGATTTTTTGGCTAGGACAGCTCTCTGCTGGTCAGCTGACTTGGTTTTTACGATGTATTATTTAGTGTCTAGTGAATATAAATATGATTCTATTGTTTGAAGGCTAATTGGGGAGATGTAATTGATTTTGGATTTTAAACTATGATAACTTTAGGAAATTCATATCATTTTGGCACAATTTTCTCATGTTTTAACACACTTTCTGAGTTGAATTGTGCATAATTTAGTTTTATACAATGAAAATGGGCATTCATTCTAAACTTAAGAAAATTCTTTTAAAAAAATTCTTCGTGTAAATGCCAATATATTGATCTACCTTGGACAAGTGAGAATTTTTACAGAATTTTGTGTTTTGTAGGTAGAGGGAACACCATTTTTGGAAGCTCTGAAGGACCATAGGAAGCAAGGAACAAGACATACATGAATCTTGGAAAGAATCAAAGAACTCAGGAGTTAAAAAGACCCTTCATTGGGTCACTTTTTTCTGCAGCGAAAAAGTACAGAAAAAAGGAAAAAGCTCTCCATGTTGTTCACTATGGCAAAGATAGCGAAGTTCAAAAATTAGGGTTTGATAAGGTTGTGGGGAGCCAACTTTTTTGACATTCGGACTCCTGAGACTCCTTGGAGATGGATTGGAGGGGCAATTGTGATGAAGGTTTGAAGACATGAAAGATTGGGATTGGAGCTTGAAGAGATTTAGAGCTTCTTCCTTCTGTTTTTATATGCTTTTCCTTTCCTTTCCTTTTTCGCTGAATTTTTGCGATGGTTGAACTTGTTATAGATAGGTGTAGTTATTTTTTGAACATGAGTGGCTAGATAGTTTGTTATAGGCCTACTTTAAACCATTGTATGGACTGAGATTTGTTTACCCTTTTTTAGTGTTAACGGTAATAACTATATGTTGATTTTACCTTGAGCTTATAATGCATCTGTGATTGCCCAGCATTTAGATAGTTTTGTTCAATCAAATGATGCTTGAGAAAGTTAATTATATTTGATTATAGAACTTGGATAGTTTTGACTTTAATTTGGATTACTACTTCAAATCACTCCAAGTTCTCTATCTTTGACTATTAATAATTTGGTTTTGACAAACATTACTTGTAATGCAAAGTGGAAGACAGCTGCAACGGGGTTTGAACGCGTAAAGAGTAAACTACAAAAACTTCATGGTCAGAACTACAAATTTGTGCCTAACTGGGTTTCATCTTGTTCTGATCAGATCGCAGAGACGCAGATCAAAGAAATCTTTCACTTTTATTTCAGCCACCAGGTTCCTATTTTCTTCCTTTCTAATTATGTGATTTTCTATGCGTAATTTTGGTTGAATCGTGATTCTTGCTACAAGACATTCATGGATTAATTCCTTTTTTTTTTTATTCTATGAAATGGATTTAGTTCTTCTAAGCATTAACTTTGTGTTTATGGTTTCTTTGAATACGAAACTTTTGCTTTGAACTGTAATTAAATGGACCGTAAGGAATATAAACATAGAGTTATCAATTCAATCTTCCTGGGATCTATTTTCTTCCTTGCCAAATCTTTTAGATCTCGAGTTACTATCTCTGAAAATTTCAGGAACTTTTGAATCTGCGAATGAGATTTGTGTTATCTAAAAGTTTTGGTTTGGTAAATCTGTTAACTCCGGAGACTAATCAGCCATGTGCTGTCATGTGCTGGAGCAAATCATCATGTGCTTATCTCTCATCTTTTTATTTATTTTTTTTATTTTATTCATAAATAAAAATGATTATTTATGCTTTATCTTTGAGGATACATAGATCTTCGAGAGCATTTTGAGATTTTAAATTTTCTTGTACTTCTTTCTTCCTTTGAATATACCCATTACCTATCTCAAGTTTTAATTTTCTTTGAAACTCAAATTGACGGGAAAATACATCTTACAAAAATTGCTTCACTTTCTTTCTGTTTTTTTCACTTTTACTAGTGTTCAGATTCCAAATCCTTGCAAGGGCGCATGATGCTGATGGAGATGGGGGCTCTTCAAGTTCTTCTGCTTCAACTAAGAGATGGAAATATCATGTGTTCTTGAGTTTTCGAGGGGAAGATACTCGAACAAGTTTTACTGATCATTTGTATAGTGCTTTAAAACGTAAAGGATTAAAAACTTTCAGGGATGAAGAAGAACTTGAAAGGGGAGAATCTATCACACCAAGTTCGATACAAGCAATTGAAGAATCTCTTTCTGCAATTGTGGTGCTCTCCCCAAGTTATGCTTCTTCAACTTGGTGTTTGGATGAGCTTCAAATGATTCTTCATTTAAAGGAAGAGTCGAGTCTTCAGGTATTTCCAATATTTTACGGAGTAGATCCATCTGATGTTGGAAAACAAAAGGGAAGTTTTGCAAAAGCATTCATGAAGCATGAAGAAAGATTTGCTCAAGACATAATAAAAGTGCAAAGATGGAGGGATGCTTTAGGAAAAGTTGCCACTACATCTGGTTGGGACTCAAAAAATTAGTAAGTTCCAATTCTATCAATAATTATCATGTCTTTTTTTTTTTGAAAAATAAGGGTGTGGGTATTCAAATAAACTCTAAATTATTGTTACATCAAGGTTTTTTTTCCCCTGAACTTTTTAATGGGGAGAGGGGAACTGCTTGAAACTTTCACTGCAGTCTACATATAGAATTATAATTTTCATTTATCTAAGAATAAAATATATACTATAGTCTCATTTACATTTTACCTTGATTACATTGATACCTTGTCTATTTGAAAATATGTTCTTGAAGTTAAATTCTTAACTCCATTAACAATATTTTAAAAAGATAATTTTAATTAAAATGTGTATTAGAATAATATTTATTTACTAATTTATCCTTTGTCATACTAAACCCTTGACTTTGATTAAAATTATTTTGAAGAATTAGTGTTTTCTTTTGGTTTTCCTTAATTATTTTTCTTACAAATAATTATTTGTTTAATATGTTTATCATATTGGGATAAAATCTAAAGTAATTTAATTAGCATAGATATAGAAAACTTAATTAAAAATTTGAGTAATTCTTAAAGGATTGTTACTATCAAAGATTCAAAAATAAATATTAATAATTCATAATTTCGATATTTTAAAAATATCATTTTATTAATAATTAATTAACAGTAGTTATTAACTTTTGATAGTTCAAAACATTACCGCATGGCACTAGATTTGAAATTTTAATCTGACAATGTATTTTGTGAAAAGTTGCTTGAATAAAATTAAGAAGAACTACTCAAACATAAAATTTAGAGTAAAATACTTTGACTACTTGCCTAGTTTACATCAATTACATAGACCCCCCACTATTTTAAAAACATACATTTTAGGGAAAAAGACAGAAAGATGCTACTTAAACTTCATAATCCCTAAATGGTATGTTAAATTTGAAAAACCTCAAGTTGGTCTCAAGAGACCAAATTGGAATTATTATGTGAAAAGAAAAGACCAAATTGCCCTTCATTTTAAATATTATTTTTAAAATATCACAGCCCCTATTGACTGGTCGGTCACCGGAGCTCTGGCGAGCAGCCGACAATTGGTCACCGGAGCTCCGTTGGTCGGACAATTTTTTTTGAAAATTTTACAACTTCAATATAACATTTAACAACTTTTGTAATGCTATTAACAACTTCAGTATAGCAATTAACAACAGGTTTTCTAGAAAATTCAACAAACTCTGACGATGGTAAACAATTTTTTTGAAAATTTTTACAACTTCAATATAACCGTTAACAACTTTTGTAACGCTATTAACAATTTCAGTATAGCAATTAACAACAGGTTTTCTGGGAAATTCAACAAACTCCGGTGACCGGAAACAATTTTTTTGAAAATTTTTACAATTTCAATATAACCGTTAACAACTTTTATAATGCTATTAACAACTTTAGTATATCAGTTAACAACAGATTTTTCAGAAAATTCAACAATTGGTCGCCAGAGCTCCGGTGGAGGAAAACAATTTTTTTAAAAAAATTTTTACAACTTGAGTATAAGGGTTAACAACTTTTGTAACTCTATTAACAACTTCAATATAGCAATTAACAACAGGTTTTTTGGGAAATTCAACAAACTCTGGTGACCGGAAACAATTTTTTTGAAAATTTTTACAACTTCAATATAACCGTTAACAATTTTTGTAGCGCTATTAACAACTTTATTATATCAGTTAACAACAAATCTTTTGAAAAATTCAACAATTGGTTGCTAGAGCTCTGGCAGAGGAAAACAATTTTTTTTGAAAATTTTTACAACTTCAGTATAACGTTTAACAACTTTTGTAACCCTATTAATAATTTTAGTATAACTGTTAACAACAAGTTTTTGAATTTGTTAAAGGCATTACTGAAGTTATAAAAATGCCACTTTTTCAATTTTTCAAAAAACTTGTTGTTAACTGCTATATTGAAGTTGTTAACCGTTATATTGGAGTTGTAAAAATTTTCAACAAAATGTAATTGTTAACATTATACTGAAGTTGAAAACTTTTACAACTTCAGCATAACGGTTAACAACTTTTATAATGCTATTAACAACTTCAATATAGCAATTAACAACAAGTTTTGTGGGAAATTCAACAAGCTCCGACGAACGGAAATAATTTTTTTTGAAAATTTTTACAACTTCAGTATAACGGTTAACAACTTTTGTAACTCTATTAACAACTTCAGTATAGCAGTTAACAACAGGTTTTTCAAAAAAATTCAAAAAGTGACATTTTTATAACTTCAGTAATGCCTTTAACAAACTCAAAAACCTGTTGTTAACCACTATACTGAAGTTGTTAATAAGGTTATAAAAGTTGTTAACTGTTATACTGAAGTTGTAAAAATTTTTAAAAAAATTGTTTTCCTCTGCCGGAGCTCCGACGACCAATTGATAAATGTTTCAAAAGATCTGTTGTTAACTGATATAATAAAGTTGTTAATAACGTTACAAAAGTTGTTAACGGTTACATTAAAGTTGTAAACATTTTCAAAAAAATTGTTTCCGGTCACCGGAGTTTGTTGAATTTTCCAAAAAACCTATTGTTAATTGTTATACTAAAGTTGTTAATAGAGTTTCAAAAGTTGTTAACCGTTATACTGAAGTCATAAAAATTTTCAAAAAAAATAGTTTTCCTCCACCGGAGCTCCGGCGACCAATTGTTGAATTTTTCGAAAAATATGTTGTTAACTGATATACTAAAGTTATTAATAGCGTTATAAAAGTTGTTAACGGTTATATTGAAGTTGTAAAAATTTTCAAAAAAATTGTTTTCGGTCGCCGGAATTTGTTGAATTTCCCAGAAAACCTGTTATTAATTGCTATATTGAAATTGTAAAAATTTTCAAAAAAATTGTTTCCCATCGCCGGAGTTTGTTGAATTTTCTAAAAAACCTGTTGTTAATTGTTATACTGGAGTTGTTAATAGCATTACAAAAGTTGTTAACCGTTATATTGAAGTTGTCAAAATTTTCAAAAAAAATTTTCCGACCGACGGAACTCCGGTGACCAATTGTCGGCCGGTCCCCAGAGCTCCGGTGACTGGCCTGCCAGTAGAGGTTGTGATATTTTAAAAACAATATTTAAAATCAAGGGTAATTTGGTCTTTTCTTTTCACATAATAATCCCAATTTGGTCTCTTGAGACCAAATTGGGATTTCTGAAATTTAACATACCATTTGAGAATTATGAAGTTTAAGTAGTTTTTTTCTGTCTTTTTCCCTATATGTTAATCCAATTAGTTAACACCATTAGGAATATTCTAAAAAATTTCTAAAAATATTACTTTTAACTGAAACTTATATTAAAATAAATTTTATTTAATATTTTACTGCTCATTCTAATAAATTACTAAATTATATTTTTACAGTTATACGAATTTTATTTAGTTAAGACAAACATAAAAGAATTAATTAAAAATTTAACTAATATTTTAATAAATATATATGTACTTGACTAAATATGTTTATAAATTTTTGTAACAAATATGTGTTTAAAAGTTTTGAATTATAATTTTAAATAATTTATAAAATCTTTCAAATTCATACCATTTAAATTTTATGATAAACAAGACCTATGCATTTGAGAAATGTTTTTATGATTTAAAAGAGATCAAAGTAAATAATTTCCAACGAATGTGATAAAATATTAAAATTATAAAAAATTTTTTGATTTGGAATGAAATTAATAAATTTAATAATATATTAGAAATTTTAAAAATATATGTATCAAAATTATTATTTGATTTTATAAAAAATATTTTTGAAAAATATAAATATCTAAATAATTATTAAGTTAAAAAAGGGGCATTTTGGTCAAAAATAATTTAAATTTAAATTTAACAGTCAACTAATGGTTTGAGCAAATGAACACAAAATCTCAAATATAAGAGGAAGGCATGTAACATATGTTTTAATTTTAAGAGAGGTTTATATACGTTTTCAAAATAGAGTGGCGGTTTTCATAATTCAGATAAAAAATAGAAGGATGATATTTTACTGCAAAATTTACTCCCTACCATCTAAAATATAAGAAGTCTTCTAGGTGAAATTTTAATCCAAAATATATATATAGGAGGTTGATATGGTAATTAATAATAGTTTTTCATTTTTTACGCATTGTCACAAGGAAGAGAGAGTTTTAAATGTCAAAGTGAGAGCAGGGAATTTTTAAATCTCATTCTTTAATAAAGGCAAAATAGTTTTTCCACTCCCCCATCCCTTATTATATGAAACAACTATCAAAATCACATAGTTCAAAATATTAGTGATAAACAATAAATATAATATGTAAGATATATACAAAAAAAATTTTCAATTGTACCTGTGTTTGTAAAGGAAGCGTATGAGAGTTCTTTATTTATAGAAAAGCTTAACAAGCATCCTATATTATGGTCTCGAGGGACTATTACCAAAAGAAAAAGAAAATCACACAATAATGTGTTAATTCAATGACTTTATATCTTGGAGTTAGTAAAGTGTGTGGACACACACCTAGTTAAATCATTTCATAATTTAATTTTCACATGCAGGTATGAAACAGAATTCATTGAAAGCATTGCTAAAGAAATGATGACAAATTTACTTGATGAATCACTATCTGACCTTGGTATGTTAATTGGGATTGAATCAAAATTAGGTGAATTGGAGTCATTTGTAGCAAGGAAATCACAAGGAGATGGGTTTATAGGAATATGGGGCACAGGAGGTTTAGGCAAAACAACTCTTGCTAGAGCTTTTTATGAGCGAAAGCTTAAAGACTTCGAGATTCACTGCTTTCTCCATAATATTAGAGAGGCATATGAAAAAGATGGTTTGATGTCATTGCAAAGAAGACTTCTTTTTTCTATAGATAAAAGAAGTATGGAAGTGGATAATTTTTATGAAGGAATGAAGCTAATAAAAAGCATGTTGGGCAACAAAAAATTTCTACTTGTCCTTGATGATGTGAGTGACGTTAGCCAACTTGAAAATTTGGCTCCAAAGCAAGGATGGTTCAGCAAGGGAAGCATAATATTAATAACAACTAGGGATAAGCATTTGCTATCATCACATGGTGTATCTTCTGTATATGACATCAAATTCTTGAATGATAATGAATCACTTGAACTTTTCCTTCAAAAAGCTTTTAAAGGAGAGCAACCTAATGAAGATTATTTGGACCTTCCTAGAACCATCATTAAATATGCTGGAGGCCTTCCTTTAACACTCAAAGTGTTAGGTTCATTTCTTTGCAAAAGAACTATAATGGAATGGAAGGATGCACTGGCTAAGTTCAAGAAGGCTCCTCCAAAGGACATTTTGAAGATACTTCAAGTGAGTTTTGATGGATTGGACATTAAGGAGAAGACTATATTCTTAGATATCACTTGTTTTTTCAATGGGATGGCCCAAGATCATCTCATACAAATTTTAGAAACTTTGGATGAGGATCTTCATCCAAGAATTGGAATAACTGTTCTTATTGAGAAATCATTGGTAATTGATTATGAAGGGTATCTGTGGGTGCATGAAATTCTACAAGACATGGGGAAATTTATTGTCTATCAACAATCACCTGATGATGCTGGGAAGCGTTCTAGGATATTATCTTTAGAGGATGCTAATCATGTACTAGAAAGAAATAAGGTGATATTCCAAAGTTATTGTGTTTGTGCACTCCTTTTATAATAATCTATTACATAACGTTTATAAATTTTTACCTTGACTTCTTGTTTTATAGGGGACAGAAGCAATTCGAGGAATATTGTTAAGATTAGAAAAGTCATGTGATGTATTTTGGGATCCTGAAGCCTTCTTAAAGATGCGTAATCTCAAGATACTTATTATTTCAATTTCAAGTTGCTCAGATGTTTCACATTGCCAGTTGAATCTTCCTTATGGACTCAAGACACTTTCCAGTGAGTTGAAAATCATAGAATGGGAGAGGTATCCATTACTTTATTTGCCAAGTCAACCTCAATTGCATAAACTTGTTGAACTAAAAATGCAGCATAGCAAATTAAAAGAACTTTGGAGAGGAATACAGGTAATTATGGTTCTTTCATTTAAAGTGTTTGTCAATAATTTAATAAATTATAATTATAATTAGCTTTTTGGTTTTGAGGGCTTATTGTTTCTTTTTTCTTTTCCTCTCTTTGCTAGTCTCTTCAAAGCCTGAAGTCCATTGATCTATCCCATTCAGAATGCCTCATCAAAGCACCAAATTTTGATGGAATTCCTCATCTTGAAAAATTGATTCTTGAAGGGTGTTTTAATTTGGTTGAAATTCACCGGTCTCTTGGCCAACACAAGAAACTTGTCATTGTTAACTTGAAAGGTTGCAGAAAAGCTAAAATCCTTCCAAGAAAATTTGAGATGAATAAATTAGAAGCTTTTGTTCTATCTGGTTGTACAAGAATTAGAAAGCTTCCTCAGTTTGGAAAAGATATGAAATGTTTATCTAAGCTTGATTTACAGGAGACTGCTATAACCAAACTACCTCAATCATTGGGCAATTTGATTGGTCTCACTGAATTAAGTTTGAAAAATTGCAAAAAGCTAGTTTGTCTTCCATATAACATTTGTAAATTGAAAGCTTTGAAAATTATCAGAATTCCAGGCTGCTCACAGCTTTCAAAGTTGCCCGAGAATTTGAATGACAATGAGGCTTTGGAAGAGCTTGATTTGAGTAAAATTGCTGTGAAAGGGTTATCACTTTAAATACAATGCTGAAGCACAATCTTTATCATCATGGAGTTGCTTCTCCCTTCTTTGTCGAAGGCCTTTGAGCTCAACAAATTTTATATTGTCATCGCCTTTGTCATTCTTGAGGAAATTAAATTTAGTTAATTGCAATCTCCATGATGGATCACTTCTCGATGACATCCGCAAGTTATCATCACTGGAAGTTTTAGATCTAAGTGGAAACAATTTCATTGACTTACCATCTGCCCTGATTTCCAATCTTTCCAAGCTTCAAGGTCTTAATCTCAGTTTTTGCAACAAGCTTCGATCTTTGCCACAACTTCCCTCAAATCTATCAACCATATGGGCAGTTGGTAGTTCATCAATGGAACATTACGGATGTTCAGAGCAATTATGGGATTTTATCGAATCATTTCAACCTCCCATAAATTTAAGTTGGCTTTATTTGTACTATGATCAGCCTAGTGACTACTACTTGGAATGTTCTCGCGAGTTAAAAATTCCAGGTAGTGAAGTGCCGTCATGGTTTTATAATCAAAACTATTTTTTGTGAGAAAGAATTTAGTCATCCAAATGTGTCGTTCATAGTAAGCTTACCCCTTGATTACTATGGTTTTCGTGAATGGTCGGGCTTAGCCATATGCTTAGTGTTAGAACACGATTTGGCATTTGGAGCAGGGAGGGATGGTGTTTGCTGGACTTACAGATTTCCTAATGATGAATTTCTGGAGATGTATTGTCCATATGGTGCTCATTTTAATGAGTATTGTAGTCATCAACTTCTTATTTTATCTATTCGTTGTTCCCCTTTGGTTGTAGACGGACTTCAAATGATATTTTTTAGTGAGAATGCAATTCAAAATAAGTCACCAAAGTTTAATATAAGAAAATGTGGGTGGCGAGTGGTGTGTAAAGAAGATGGTGAAGCTTGGCGAAGAACAACGGATGAAGGTTGTAGTAGTAGCATCAATGATTTCGTGATGATTGATAGAGACATGAACAATAGCAGTGATGTTGAGTCTATTTCCAAGGTACTTAGATCAACCCTTCTTGTTTTAGATTAAATGTTACTTCTCTTCTGATCCTAAATATAAGACTTATTTTGTAGTATAAATTACACACAATACAAAATGACTCTTTCATTTAGGACATGAAGAGAGTATATTTTAGATTAATGAATGATTGGTTGGATATTTGAATTTTTCATTGATTTGTTAATTCAATATAATCTTTCAATTCATCTAAATATTCTACTCCTCCAATCCTTAATATAAAACTTAGTTAACTAATTTGAGTAGATTAAGGATGTTAATTAACTTATCTAATATGATTTCTTTTCCTAAATCACCCTAGGCATCTTCCTTGATTATTTCGCTCCCTTTCTTACTTGATTATTGTTGGAAAAAAATATCAATAAGATTAATTTGAAAAAATTAAATAAATATGTGAAATAGCTTTTACATATAGAACCAACATCACATCTTCTTAAGCTGAAATTGCTAGGGAGAGGAAATGTTCTGTTTTTTTTTTTTTAAGGGTACTCCCGGGAAATAAATCTAGTGGAAATGGGTTGGGGTTTGTAACTCATAGGATTAGAGCACGTGGCTACAAACCATGGTAGGTCATACATTAAGAATCTAAGGAGTATTTCCTTAATTATGTCATTTCCGTAGATACTGTTTAATATATAATTTTAGGTAGAGTTGTTCATGAAACCCAGCTACGGAGTGGCCTGAAATAATCAACCCAAAAAAAAATTGGGCATTATCAGGCTACCTAAATTGTTGGTCAAGGCCAAGAATTGGGCATGCCATCCTATCTAAAGAATATACATTACCTCCGGTCTTAATTATAAAAGCTAGTTGATTAATTTTGAAGAGATTAAAAAAATAAGTTAAGTTAGTTATTTGCAATAAATAAGTATTGTCTTTCCTAAAATATCCTTACTAATCAAGTGTGTTGGCTAAAACTACAATTATTAGAAGGACTATCTTAGAAAAAAATTACATAAATATGAAGATAAATGGATTGGGATTTTATATTTAGGACCAAAATAAAATTCAAATAAGGTCTTATATTAAGAACGGGAGGTAATATAATTTTATTTGATAGATGTATTATTCAAAGCAACAGCTTTGTCTCTCTCTTCGTCTTTTATTCTTATTTTCTGTTACGATAATTTTTATATGAAAGGCTCAAATGGGCACTTAGTTTACTTGGAGGATGATGCTGCTTTTATTTACATTTTGTTGTAACTTCTATTTTGCAAATACAACACACTTCTCTTGATACTTTTAGTTGATCACCGATTGATACTATTTCTACTGGTTGCGGGAAAATATCACATGGATTGTTTATGTTGGAAATCATATAGCCTATCTGTCATTGCATTCATTGCTCGAGATTTACCTATCTGTCACTGTATTTATTGCTCGAGATTTACAGCCTAGTATTTTATGCGAAACTTACATTGTTGTTTTAATTTGTGGACATTTCATTGATTTCAAATTATTGTTCTGCTTTTAATAGAGTTTATCAAGTTATTTTTTTTTTTAGTTTTCTTCACAAATAATATTATAAATATGACGTTGCTACTTTGGTAGAGAAACCCATCCTATCTAACCTCCCTTTACCCGACCTGAAATAATTTGGGCTTTTCACAAGCAAGGTGATACCATTATATTCATTCTTTAGGATGGGTATCGGGTAAGAGCTATGTCTTACCCACTTCTCTCCGTGTGCAGCCCTACATATTTGGTTTGTTTCATATCTTCAAAAAATTTTATTATTTTTTGCCTTTTTCTTGTATGACATAATTTAGTTTCAACAGTCCATCAAAGTTCAAACTAGATCTTATGCATTTCTTTAATTTTTTTTTCCCCCATTGATTTGGCAAAAGTCATAAGTTGAAAATCTTACATCATTTATATGTTTTAGCACATCATATATTAAGTTAGTACTGTTTGAAATAAGCAAGTCTGAGTGGTAAGTATTGTGCAGTACTGTTGAGGGATGGCAAAAATCCAAAGATGAAGCTGATATTGATTCAGATAACTTGAACAATCCCAGAGAACAAAGAAGGTGTAGCCATGAGGAGTGGATGTCAAGCTCTTGGCATTCCCCTGATCCTCTATTTCAGACTTGATTGTTACGGCCCAAGAAGGAAATAATGATGTGGCAATCGCGTGTGGAAAAGGTGAGATGCGTTGCAACGAGAGGGAACATTGCCTCGCCTGGAAGTTGGGAGAATAAATGACGATTAGTAATGATTGGGGAGGGTGTGAAAAAGTTGTATGACGTCTCTTCTCTCTGATCTCATGATTCTCTGCCTCCCTTCCCTTTGGACCCTCTGGGGTTTTTCCTCTCTCTATATCTGCCTCTGTTGTTTTCTATTGATTATTCGTTTATCTGGGTGCTGATAATTGTAACTGAATGATTATATATGTATCTGCTGAGCTCATATTAATATACAATATCATTCAGTGATCATATTAACTCTACTGTTTAGATTGATCCATAACATTTTGGTGCTCTCGTTGATAGCATGGCGGAGGTAATGAGATTCAAGGAATTACAGGCAGATGTGACAGGCATGAATGAACATGTGAAGCAAAACGAAATTGCAATCAACATGAAGATTGAATAGATGGAAGTGAGCGCCAATTTGAAAATATATCAATCACTTCATACACTATTTTGAAGTATTTCACACGAAGCATAAAGAAGTTTCATAATAAAATTTAGGGAAAACTAATCCGACAATACATATGATTTTGAATTCCCAACCTCTCTCCTTCAATGAGCAGTTTAGCAGCAAACTCTTCAATTCCCCAGCCTTTCTCCCTCCTCCAGTCTTTCAAAATTCAGAAGAGTTGGGTGATGCCTTCTTGGAGAGAGTTTTTGGGCTTAATAATGACTTTGTATATTGGAAACAAGCAAAAGTACAGGGTTACTCTGTTTGTCTCTGTTTTTGTTGGCAGAAAAGAAACAGGGCTAAACAGAATAATGTGGTAGCAGCAAATAACCTTTCATATGGCTTACTAATTCCGATTTTTAATACGAGACCCAATTAACAAATTTAAGAAGATTAAAAAGTTACTAAATTATTTAATTATATCATATATTACGTAATCTCTCTAAAATATTTATATGTATCATTAGATTATATATCAGTTTATAAATAGAGCAAATTAGTTTGGAAAAAAACCATAAATATAAATATATTAAAGTAATTTAACAACTTCTTTAATCCCCTTAAATTAGTCAACTAAATCTTATATTAAAGGCAAGAAGCAGTATATTCTATATCAACTTGAATATTAACATTGCAGTAACCCGTGAGAAAGGAGGAGGAGGAGGGTTAATAAATTAAATTACACATAAACCTTGTTTTATAATTGATTTGTGTCTGCCCATTCTCTACGTATACGTTTATAGACAGATACATTTCATTTTTAAAGTTTTAACTTATAATCACATACTAAAGCTTGATAATTGCTCATCAGAATTACATAACCAGACAATTAAAGTGGGCACCATGCCATAACTATGTCAGCTTGATAATTGCTGCGGGAAGGATGGTGGATAAATATGTGTAAAAGTGATTATTATAGTGAGTGATTTATAAGCTTTTAAAATATAAGGACCACATTAAGAAAAGAGATCAACTATAAGGACTTTTAGGTTAAAAAAAAAAAGATAAAAGAGAATGCATGAGGTGAAAAATAATGATGATGTGAATGAGGTGAAAAATAATGATAGAGTAATAATTAAGAGTAAAATAGTAAAAATACGGTTAATATTCAGACAAATTAAAGGATATTTTATATAAAAAAAAATACCAATTCAAAAAATTAAATCTTATAATGCTCTCATGCCTTCCAAATATTTGTCGTTGCTCCAAAGCCCAATGAGCTTTTCTCATCCTTTCCATTAGTTTCTAAGTCCATCTTTCTATGCGTATGATTATTGGGCCTGTTCATGATGATAAACAACAATGAGCTTCAAGATTCAGC